GGTGTGTGTTAACAATCTGAGTTATGCCGATGACATGGTGCTGCTGAGCCCGTCGATTGGTGCAATGCGAAGGTTGTTAAAAATGTGTGAAACCTATGCGTTGACGCACGGACTTAGGTATAATGCCACAAAGAGTGAGCTGATGGAGTTTAAAGCTGGTTCGAAAACCTATCACAATATACCCAGTGTCACTCTTTGTGGTGTTGAGTTAAAAAGAGTCAACAAATTCAAATACTTGGGCCATTGGTTGACTGATGATATGGTGGATGACACGGATATCGAGAGGGAGCGCAGGGCGTTGAGTGTGCGCTGCAATATGTTAGCTCGCAGATTCGCACGGTGTAGTACACAGGTAAAGATGACGCTGTTCAAAGCATACTGTCAGAACTTCTACACGTGTGCTCTGTGGGTTGACTTTACGCGGCGCGCGTACAACGCACTGCGCGTGCAATATAATAACGCGTTCAGGATATTGTTGGGGCTGGCGCGATTTTGTAGTGCGTCCACAATGTTTGCAGAGGCGCGTACTGATTGCTTTTATGCAATAATGCGCAAGCGTAGTGGGTCGTTGCTATCGCGCGTGCGCGCCAGCCCAAACAGTATCGTGCGCGCGCTATCCGAACGCTGGGATTCACCGCTGCTTATGCGCTGGATCCATCTGCATACAGCGGCGGTGACTCCTTAGTTGTTAGTCTTATTATTAATATGTTTGTTTTTGTTTTTAATCTAATTTTATTTTATGAATTCAATTTACTAACACTAGATTTGTAAGCAAAATTATTACTAACCAATATGGATGAATAATCTGAAATAAATGTTATTATTATTATTATTATTATTATTATTATTATTATTATTAAAGCTCCCTAAATAATAACTTAACTGTACGTAAATTTTGATGCTCCATTTTTATATATGTCTACCAGACAACTATTTTAAAAAAATTACAAAAAAGACAGACCGATCCAAGGGGCCAATCATCCTCTAAATTCAATTTTAATGCCTCTGTCATTATCTACGCGCAGGAGACTGGGGTCTTACTCTAACGCCTGGATGGATCGAGCTTTATGAAACATAGTTTTGTTTAGGTTATAAAACATAGTTTTGTTTAGACGCTTAATCACCTTCTCAATCTTCTTCTCGAGTAATGATAAACTTGTGTAGATATTTTGACACCTATTTCACAAAAATATGGCTCAGTCACTCCTTGATAGCTAAACACACCAAACCTTCGCTGAGGTCGGATAATGTCCACGTTGTACTCTGCTGACTGATTGTAGGTTCCGTTCCGATGTGAGTTAATGCAGTGCAACAGTTTCGGAACAGTTTTTGCGTTTTTTTTTCTTGACTAGTAACTTGACGCTTTTGACAAATAAATGTAACGAACATGTGAACATTATTTTTTAGCATTTTCCTGAATCCGAGCGAAGCCACTTAATAGCTGCAACTGATGTTACGCGTGAAAACTAAATTTTAGAAGGAAAATTAAATACTTTGATAACATAGCAAGTTCTGATCACGGTGGTACCTATGTGTTTTGTTGCGATGCCGCATGCCACCGCCCGCGATCACACATCGCCGTGATCCGGCGCAACCAACTCAGAAAGCTTTTAATAAAATATTGTTACCGCACGACGAAACCTAATTTGTGGGCCCCGCCGCCGCCACCACCGCTACAGCCGCTAGCGATAGATCGGATTTAGAGACCCTTTACGCGACAAACTTGCCGATACCTCATACGAATACAATACACAAGGCAAACCAGAAAACAACGTTACTTGTTCAATGTTTAGTCATATTGTAAGGTATTACTCATAAAATATAGAAAAAGGTGTAATTGTACAGGTGGAAACTATTACGTTATTTTGTGAGCGTTAATTTGAATGCCCCATGTCTCTACACCGGCAATTTATATAAATACCTGTTGATTTAATCTAAGATGTAACTATAAATTTACCAAATATCTTGTAACCACTTCTAATTAACTCAATTGTACCTTAATAAATACCGGAATTAGTAGATGACGGATTGTTTTGATATAAACGGCATACCATTCATCGATAGTTGCATTTAAAACAGTCGATAAATCTTTGTGCTCATTGAAATGCATTCCTTGACCGGGCCCTTAGCTCGGCCTAAATTGTTTTGAACACGCGTCAGACACTTAAATGCTAGGCATTACAATTTTGATATAAAACCTTGGATTTATGATTGGCTTCATCGAATGCATATTGAGATGCTGTCGCGGGCACCACAGTTAGCAATCAGAATACTTGATTCAGGCCAATTACTGTTGCATCATACCAAACATTTGTTTATGAAAAACTATTAAGAACGTGGACCAAAGAATTTAATTTTAAATAAATCATAATAAAGTGAATCAAGTAAAATCTAATAAGATGATTTTGTAATCTTAGCGTTCTCGTAGTCTTTGTAATGATCAACAATTAAGTACCTATATATTCCAACGCAACGATGTATTGTCACTTAATCTCATCAAATCAACAATATTAAACAGACTATTTATTTCGATATCGGTGCTCAACTTTACGAATAAAATCCGAAGTGTTCCCACGAAACACCGCGCTAACACTGACTTAGAATACTTAAAAAAGTTACCGAAATTGAGGCATGTAACACGGTGGAGGACTATTAAACACTTTGCTGAACAAGGGTTGTCTCAAAATATAAATTCATAAGAATATATACCTAAAAATAGATTGTATCGCAGAAGGTTTTTGAAACCTTCTCTCCGAGAAAATGTGTTAGAACCTGAATAAATAAGAATTTGAGAGGAATCTCAATAGAGCGAAGGCCCTAGCGAGTATCGCGTCGGCCGGGGAAGTTTGCTGCGTCCCGACTCCCGGTCGTATGCGCCAACTCTAAACTTAATGCGCCTATTTAGTATACAGAGATAAGTATACCACGTACTAGGCCCGTCTGCGGAGCGAGCAGCGGAATTTTAAATACGACAAGGTGTTGAAAATGTTTGGTCTTGAAAAAAAAGGCGCACCGCCCCTCGGAACGACGCGTTATATTTTTATTGTCAATTTATGCAAACTCCCTCACGTTGAAGCGTGATCGTTTGTGAGATCCTGCGGCACGATTATTGTTGTTATTGTTACGTGAAGTGTGTTGGCATCATTCGTAGCCATAGAACTTATAATATTATAAGTTCTGTGCTCGTAGCTGTTGACACCACTATTGAACCGTGATCCACACGGGAAGTTATTTAGATCTCGAATCCTGTGTCGAAACTTTGTTTGTTATGTGTTTGATTTTTTTTATGATAGATAATAATTAAAGACTCGAATGGATTGTTAGGGACTGTTCCTGCCATATTTCCTTCGTGTTATATTTATTATTTTTTTAAGCATTTATCAGATCTTCTAAAATCTCTTAAGAAAAATTTACTAGAAATGTTTCCTACGTTGTAGATTTATGTATCTCAACATCAACATAATTATTTTAATAAATTATTGAAAAGGCATAATTTGATAGAAGTACATAAATTAATACTTAGTCTAGTTTAGTTATAATAGAATATCTTTTAATTATAAACCACCTAAATGAAAAAAACTTGTAATACTGTAAAGATTGGAACTACTTACCGAACAATACGGTGTTCAAATATAACTTGAGTTACTTAATAACTTGACGCTCTTTCGTCTTCTTCACAACTTTACACCATCCACTACTAAAGCGCATAATATCAAGTTAGCAAAAGTAAAACAGTGAGTAAGTCGCTTTTCATCTTGGAACATAAAGTACTATGAAAAGTCCAATTCAACATCAAATGCGTTATTGCAAATTTGTTATCCGTATCTTCATCAAATAACCAGTCAACATAATCACTGTTTATTTGATGAAGGGATAAAACTTACTTAAAGCAATATTGTTCTAACAAACGCACAGATATTAGATAAAATTTATCAACAGACAGGGACAACGTTAACTGTATGCAATCTTGATAGAATGTATGCAGAGTTTCCGATTACCGGCAACCAGGCACTATTGCTTACTGGCATCAACTACAATCCTAAAACTGTAAAATATGTCTTGATTTATTTCTGTGATGACTAGGTACAGTACAGTAGCGTTTCATGTTAGGACCGTGGAGCTATAAATTTCAGACTGACAAATTGCACGGAAGCCTAAACTTTAAGTCGTTGTAAAAGCGCATAATATTTACATCTCAGATTAACATGGTCACTATAGAAGGTACTTACTACCCCATAACATTAGTGACTCAAATGGAATCTTATTAGCAAATATTTTGAGGTGAATTGGTGACAACAATAATAATGAACCGTCGTTATAGACTTTGTCAGAGGTTGAACAAAAATCCATTCAACTTAAACAGATTTACTGTTTCAATTGGAATGCCCATCTGGGGGAAGCAAGCTCCACCTTACAGTAAACCACAGTGGCATTACCTTTGGATACTGTTGTATTACTGCCAGGTTTTTACAGCTGCACGGGGTCGGGGATACTGTTCGATTGAAAAACAACGAGACTTATCATCCATCCATCCATCAGCCTTTCTCCGTCCACTGCTGGACATAGGCCTCCCCCATGGAACGCCATAATGCGCGGTCCTGCGCTATCCGCATCCAACGGCTCCCAGCACATTTGACGATGTCGTCAGTCCACCTTGTTGGGGGCCGCAATACGCTGCGTCGTCCGGTACGTGGTCGCCACTCGAGGACCTTTCTTACCCAACGGTTGTCAGATCCTCGAGCGATGTGGCCTACCCATTGCCACTTCAGCGTGCTAACTCTTCGGGCTATGTCGTACACACCGGTCCTTCTACGGATCTCCGTATTTCGGATCTTATCACGTAGGGAAACACCGAGCATAGCCCTCTCTACGAGACCTATACTGGTATCGAATTCTTCTAATAGTCCGTCGCCGTTAGACGAATTTTCCACGAGGCAGACTATAGGCTCGTTTGTCAATCTTTTTTACATGGAAAATAACAAATACGTTTTTGTCAACAGAATCGTGCGGTGCTGATGACTTCCGATGTCAGAACGGCAAATGTATAGAGAGCTCTCGGCGCTGCGACCGCGTCGTCGACTGCCCCAACGAAGAAGATGAACAACAGTGCGGTGAGTTATTAAACTAGCTCATTATATATGCCACCTCGATGCCGCAGGTGGTTAGCGCATTCAGCCTGTGATCGTGAAAGTTAAGCAACTTTCGCAATGGTCGGCCATTGGATGGGTGACCAAAAACTTTTGATCTCGAGCTACTCCGTGCTTAAAAAGGCACGTTGAGCCGTTGGTCCCGGCTACATCTGCAGTCGTTTCGCACCAATCGGCACGGGGCCCGCGTGGGGGATCACGTCCCAATCTCCTTATTCCATCTATCCTGTGCCCCAGCAGTTGAGATATTAATAAGCTGATGATTATGATGATATATTCCAACTTAGTGTCACATCATTTACAAAATATAAACCATTATTTATTTATTTAATCAATAAACACAGTTACAGTTATTTTTAAAGGAATATTCCCAATAAAGTAGAGTATAATGTAAAATAAGAAATTATAAAATTATATAAAATTAACATAATTATATCAAAATACAGCAAGAAAATAATTAATATCTTTATATATATAATTCTTCTGTGAGTGTGTATGTCACTGAACTTCTCTTAAACGACTGGACCGATTTTGATGAAATTTTTTGTGTGTGTTCAAGGGGATCTGAGAATGGTTTAGATTCACAATTTTGTCCGCTGGATAACCCCTATTTTTTAGGGCGGTAAGAAGTTCGCTGGGTCAGCTAGTACATATATAAATTAATAAGCATTAGTAATACTAAAAATTCAGTATTAATTAAAATTCCCGGATCAAAAATATCCTACGACTCCATCCAAGTTATAAACTTTCTGGGTGTGAAATTTCATCCAAATCCGTTTAGCCGTTTTTGCGAAACTGAGTACCAAACATATCTACAAACATACAAACTTTCACATTTATAATATTAGTAGGATATTATATATTATAAGGAATTACCCGAATTACTAAAACTAGATCTCTTGTGGTCACTGTGAAAAGGTCAATCCCGCAAGGTAGCATTTTGGGACGTATCTTATTCCTGATTTACATTAATGATTTGCCAAAAATACTGGACAGTAAAGGCATTCTCTTTGCAGATGACATTACCGTTTTAATACCTTGTACCAATATACCGAACTGAAACTTAGTCTGAATTTAACTGGCTAGAATCCCATAACCTGCAACTTAACCTCAATAAGACCATTATCATCCAATTTAATATCAAAAGTGTGAATTAGAAATATCATACAGTTACAATGACCCGAAATTAGGTTGGGTTTTGAATTAGACACACATTTGAATTGGACACAGCACGTCCAAAAAATAACAAACAAGTTATCATCTTTTATATACGCACTCCAACAATTAAAAGGTGCTCGTATCAAAATCGAAAAATAATATAGGAAAAAATCCTCTCCTTCCCATGCCTTCAAATCCCGTCTGCTGCCTGACCCGCGTTGGTTTTTTTTCAATTATTCCGTATCAAAATTAACATATTAATTATCACAAGTGTTCAATTTTGATCAAAATTGTTCTTGACATCCTTCGTGTTGACTTCGGTTGATTTCATAATATCTTAAGAGATATCAGTTTGAAAATAACTCCGCATCAAAATTTGTATCACCACGCACGCATTTATGTTTTCCAATTTGTATGTTTTTTACTCAATGACGCAAAAGCTACTGACGGATTTAGATGAAATTTGGTGTACATATAGTTTATGACCTGGATTGAGACATAGGATAACTTTTTGTCTTGGAAAAGTGACAGGTCCCTGAGGGATTTTCAAAAAACTAAAGGACGTAGTCGCGGGCGGTCGCTAGTTATAAATAAATAAATAATGGTTGATGGCTTCGCATATCAATTTCAGAATGCCGCGAAGGAGAATTCCAATGCGTGTCAGACGGATCGTGCATTGAGGGTAGGAAGCAGTGCGATGGCGTCAATCACTGCATGGACAGCTCCGACGAACGAGACTGTGGTGAGTTCGCTGTGACAAACACTCAATAAGTCCTCATTAAAGACAAGACACAGTAAAGTGTCTCATCCAATAGGACTGCTAGAACGATCCTCGACCTCAAGTCTTACCCAGTCTTCACAATAGTCGCATTATTATAATGAGTTCAAAGTGATTGATAAAAATTTAATGGGTCAATTTATCTCTGCATGCATCTCTGGTATTCAAACGGTAAGTGTCTCACATATTCGATTGGTTGGGCGACTATGTGTGCCAAGACAGCGGGCGCTATCGTTGTCGCGATGGAACCTGCATCTCCATATTGCTGCGATGCGATGGTTTCCGCGACTGTCCTAAGGATAGTAGTGATGAATTGGGATGTCGTAAGTATAAAATTACTAACATTTTAAGTATTGATACATGATATTGATTTGTATGCAATTAATCAGGACATAAGAAAACAATTTTGATGCATATATTAAGCCACTTCAGTGTCCATTCTGAAATTTAAATTAAAAATTGTATTTATTACCATAAGGCATATTAAATCAAGATCACATAACAATAACTCAATAGTTTATGCATTTAATAACATATAAATAAGTATCATCCGCTTTCAAAAGCATGCAGCTCAGATCAGTGGCAATGTGATTTTGGGAATTGCATCCGGCGCAGTAAGCGCTGTGACGGTCGGGTGGACTGCCCTTCTGACAGATCTGACGAAAGAAACTGCTACGGTAAGAGGCAATCAATAACCTATAAGCGTATTTAGTGTTTCATCGACACCGCACCATCAGATTTCAGTTCACGACTTTATTTGAGAAAATTTGGCGGCAGGGAGGTGAATGCCGACAATGAAGGTCAGCGTTATTGCGCATTTATACCTCAACTTGGTCACAAGTCACAGGTTCTGTTTGGCGTTCCTCTCTCTGCCTCGCCAAGTCCGTGGTATTTTTAAAGTAGTTTTCTCTTCTTACAATTTTCACATGCCAACCACTCGCCATTCTAGAATTATTTGATAGCCTTAAATTGCGTTGTCATTTATGGGTTCTTTACTGGAAATATTACTTATTCCAGCATTGTAAAATCAACACAAGATATTACCCAGTTTACTAGACTATTATTACATTTACAATCAAAAAGCATCTAAATCCGCACTTGTTCAACATCATATTCACTAGTATTTGTGCATGTATTTCCAGCCACTGGAAACTTTAAGTGCAGAAGTGGCAAGTTGATACCTGACTATCTAAGATGCAATCGCCGTTACGATTGCCCACCGGGAGACTATTCCGACGAACAGAATTGTCGTAAGTTCAGAAATCGTTTTTGGATGTGGTCTGTCTTGCTTCTCTGTTATTTTCGTTTTCGTACTGATTTTCTTTTCTTCTTTTTATATCTGTTTTCGTTGTTCTTATTTATACTATTCCACCTTGATCCTGATGGATCCACAGTATTTGGCAATAGTTACTTACTTTCGATCTTTTCATCTGTTCTGCAGTTTTTCATTTCACTTGAATGTCTTCATTAAACGAATGATTTTTTAAATGTCATTGACATGATGAATATAAAACTAATTATTTATTCTATAAAACAGCATGTGGTGACGGCGACTTCCATTGCGATAATGGCAACTGCATACCTGCATCCAAACATTGTGACAGAACGCATGATTGTCAGGATGGTTCTGATGAACGAGATTGCATTTATGGTTTGAAATTTATTAAAATTATTAACTTAAATTATCAAATTGTTAAACAGGTGGTGGTTAGACCCCGTTTAAATTTAATCGAGTTAATCAAGCATGTTAACATAAATTAAAATAAAATGTTGAGGATCAAGAGCGAGTTCATGTTCGCACGCTGGCCAAATCGTAAGTTTTTTGAAGATCAGAAAAGTGCGTCATCTCTTGATCCACAACAAATGTATTATATTGTTTTATACACGCTTGCTTAAAACATCACTTAGGTAGCATTATATTACTTGCAAAAAGCAATAATCACATAGCAGTAAATTTAAAAGTAGTGATACCTCTTTGAAATCCGACTATTTTGATATTAATTATTACCTCAACCTAATATAAATCTTAATTGTTTGAATTAAAAGCTAACATAATAATTTGCAACTGGGAAAGGGTGTTTTTATATTACAATCACCCATTTCAAGATAATTAGGAGGATAAGTTTATGAGCTAAGCCCTCCTTTCCAGTATAATTAAGGTTAAGGTGCATTATTTTATGGCAGGCACAGTATGCATGGCTTATCAATATAAATGTTCGAGCGGACAATGCGTACCGGCTGAATCCTTATGCAATGGGACCAAGGAGTGCAATGATTGGTCAGACGAAAAAAACTGCCCTTGCAAAAGGGAAGAGTTCCGATGCCGTGACGGTTCATGTATAAACATCGCACTGCGATGCAACGGCTACAGCGACTGTCGCCCCCACGGGGAGGACGAACGCAACTGCGGTGAGTAGCATGTGATGCTCAGATTGTCCTTTGTCAGCTTAGAGCGGAGTGTTAAATGTTTATGATGTTTGCTATTCAGGAAGTTGCCCAGACGGCCACTGGCAATGCTCGGACGGTGGATGTATACCGAATGACAAAAGATGTGACCGTCGCTCCGATTGTCTCGATCGATCTGATGAGAAAATGTGTAGCGTCCCACATACGTTAAGCAAAGGTTCAGGAATATTCTACGGGGTCTCTGCATGTCCTGTTGCATGTCGTCTGTCGATGGTCGAGTGCGACCTCATATTTTTTTGTATCGCTTCCGCAGAAACTTCTTCGTCTTGAAAGAAGTGAAAGAATTATGTCGTTTTCTTTTCATTTTAGTTTGTGGGATTCTTGCGTAATTTCCGTTTTGATTCCTGTCGATCTAGAGTGCGTATCTTCGTTGCTTTGAACGGATCCGATTAGAGCACAACACTCGGTATGTCTAACGGATAGAGTAGTTAGTTGTGTTAATAGGGGGTTGGGCGCTGTCGTTTCGTTGGTGTCTAACATCGTGGGTGGTGTTGGTGTTGCAGAGGCCCCGCCCTGCCCGCCTGACTACTTCACCTGCGACGCGTCGTCGTCCGTCAAGTGCGCTCATCGCTGCGACGGCCAGGTCGAGTGCGACGGCGGCGAAGACGAGGACCAATGTGATGGTAAATGAAATTACTGATTCCGTAAACAATTGCACGTTTTAATGCGCTCCAAATCTATGTTATTACATCAATCTGGGAATTATGAATTAATAACTTTGGCGTGATCCAACAGTTTTCTAGTATTTAGTAAAAGTAAAGCGTCACTTGCTCAGTACGCTGAAACATGTACTGATTCATTCTAAAGCACATATTTAAAATTTTCAACTGGCCGAAATATGATTGAGTAACACAAGATTTAATTTTAGTTAAGAAGTTTCTAAAATAAATTTAGTGTTAAGAAATTCATTGTATTTCAGTATGAACTTTATAATAATATTGCAAATTTCCGATAATGGCGAATTTTCCAGCTATTGCGAATATTGAATTTCCTTTATGTGCTAAGCCATAGCGAATACACTGATCGAAAACTTTGTACTTGTAAAAATTACTTCATGATTATATTTGAATTTTTATTTTTAAGCATTTAATTGCTGGATGTTTAAATGCAAAGATTTTTTTCTAGAAAAAATCAACGCGGACCATGCTCCATACGGGATTCGACCTTGCTCGATTCTCTCTTACAGCCTAAAAAATAGTAGAGAAAAATTCGACACGGACATTAGGGCCGCGGCAACATAATGGACAGTGCATCCGCCCGAATAGCGGAGGATGCGGCTCGAGTCCCGCCTGCTGCCTGGTCCGCGTGGAATTTTTTGTCGTAAAATTTTCTTTAAATTTATGATTTATGTTCATAAGAAACTCGTTTTATTTTATGTAGTGATGAAGAGTTTTTATACGTTGTGTTGTTTTTGAAGAGTGCAGCCACCAGTGCGATGGTGTATGTCTGGACGAGGCGAAAATTTGCAATGGCGTGCCAGATTGCTCTGACGGCTCCGACGAAGTAGACTGTGACCATTGCGATAGACCCACCGACTACAGGTAACACGAGACTAGTTTTATTTAATTTTTAATGTTTAAGTGATTTTGCGAGCTATTTGTGTTCATCGGGCGAAATCGGCAATGCGAATGACTTTGTTGCTGGCTGTTGGCGATCTGATGATTTTGTATACAATCACTGTGTTTTGTTTTAGATGCAAAAACGGCGAGTGCATCAACTCGGCGCAGTACTGCAACGGCATTCCGGAGTGTTCTGATGAAAGCGACGAAGAGAACTGCAACAAGACCATGATATCTAGACCTGGTATGTCTAACAATTACGCATTTGAATGCTAGTCAATTTTGTGTCTAGAACTTTAGAGATTTCTATAAGAATCACACTTTCCTTACTAAAAATCAGTTACTGTTGTGATAATAGGCTAGTTGACTCATGTCGAATTGTATTAAATAAATGTTTATTTCTTAAAGTATTTGGTATAAGGAACCTAAATATATCGATTTCACTTCATAAAAGCAGAAGATTGCTGTAGAAATTTAATTTAAAAAAATAATTTTTAGTCTATACTTTTTAAACACTAAAAACGCTGTTCGCCAGTTCCGCCATGATTTTGACGTCTCTTGTGGTAAACAAACAACTGAATGTCATTCGCGTGTTACTGTAGGAGGATTCTTTCGTCTGACTAATTTATCTTAAAACACTTTTAACTTTACTTTGTTTTTGAAAGAAAAAAACAGTAAACTTAGTTTTTTTTGACAAAACTAATTATGGATGCCGGCTTTGTGAAAGCAGAAAGCACAAATCTGCCAAGAATTGACGCATTGATGGTTGGTGAATTTGTTGCACTAAACCCCGATTTCTGCTCTGCAGAGCAAAGAAACGACAAGGCATCTATGTAAGTACAGTGCATTTAGTATTACAATGTAGTAATAAACATAAAACTGATACAACATATGAATAAGTGTAATAAAGTTGCGTAGGTTAATTTCTTTCGGCACTTTAATCCACAACTTTCCTGGAGTCTTCAAGGATGTGTTTTTATATTCTCGTACAATACAGTAATGATAATTACTACTTACGTGGTATTTATTAGAAATCATGTTTTTTTTTTATTATAAACTCAGTTAAAAGTAATTCTCTACGTGTTTACGAGTTTTTGTTTACCACAGTTCACGTCATAGCATAGATAATCTATAGACTAAAATGGCCGACAGCGTTTTTGTATGTCCATGAAAAGTCTATTTTAAAATTAAAGATTTGTAGCTTTCTAGGTTTAAAAATAATACAATACATTTTTTTCGGTCTAATAGAACACTTGTTAACCATTTAAAACCTTTTTTCAAAAAGGGTCAACTAGCCTATTGCAGAACATCTTAAAAATGATTAGATATCATAGTAGACCAATAGACGTGGTTGCCTAAAAAACTAATGACCAAGTATTACTTGCGTCCACTGGTGAGTTGTGCCCATAGGTTACCTACTTCACCGAAACCATTCAAGCGTTGTAGTATTTTGAAGAAGGGTCACGTAAAAAATATTTTATTACCCGATTACATGAAATGAACTGTTTCAGAATTATATTTAGAAGTGCTGATCAGTTATTACCACTGCCTGTCACTCCGCAAAACAATTGCCGAGTTTCTTGCCGGTTCTTCTCAGTACAAGGTCTCCCGCCGTAGATTTGCGAACCGATGGCGTAGCTTTTCGACATTCACAAGGTGCTTGTAACAGCCTACACTGAATGAACGATATTGAATTTTGGTACAGCCCATCTCAACAAATAAAATTGTTATAATTGTCCTTGGAAACAAGTCATTAAATATAAAAAATGAGCCAAACATCCATTTTGACTTTGATCCCTTTGCCTTACAGTGGGATGCACCAACGACGAATTCCAATGCCGAAACGGTGCCTGTATAAACAGCATGTTCTTCTGCGACGGTAACTCCGACTGCACCGACAACTCGGACGAGGAAAACTGCCGTAAGTATTGTGCTAGTGTTATTGACATTGAAAAAAAATGTAACAAGAGCGTACATGAAGAGGTTTACAATACAATACACACACGTGGCAGAAATATTTAGACATATCAACCTGTACACTTTTCAACAGCTGCACTAAAATTGTTTAATACTACGTAAATAACTATGTGTACCTATTTATTTAATTAGAATATTTCAAAAAAAAAATAAAGAGTTGAGTTCCGATTATCCAATATTATATATTTCAACTTGATTTAATGAATTATTTGGTCAATTTCGGATGATTCTTTTAAGAGATGTTCATCCAAGTGGTGCATCCAATTTGAATAAAGATAATTAATTTGACATATAATTATTTTAAAACTGATGAACTCGTTAAATTAAGAGATGCTGAAAATCTAGAGCATTGAAAGCAGGAACTGAAATGCTTCTTGAAGTAAACAGTGTTGCTAAAACAATCGTACCTTGCGAAGAAAATAAACCAAGAAGAAAAAAGCCAGATATTGAACGCAAAAAAATAGGTAATAAGGAATTTGTTACACACTTCAAATGTATAATTATCCACAGGGCACAAGGCACTTGAGCTTATAGCAGCGCATCGCACAAGACTAAACGCTAATAGCTTTTTTTCAAAACCATTAATGAAAACCTTACCTTAGGTTAGAGTTGTATTAATTTAAAATCAATAAATAATAGCTAACAAAGCATCAATTTCAAGGAATGTCTCCCATTAATCGTTTTGTTAAAAGGCTATTTTATGTTATAAATGTAAGCACCGATACATCACGGCACTATCACTTACTGCACTAGTAGACACATAGTTCCTTATATCTAATTGTCTTATAGCCATCAATGTGGGAACAGGTAGTCTTAAAGTTCTAAAAAGGGTGTTCACACTGTCTTTGTAATGTAGCATTTATATTTAAGCTAATAGATGGCTAATATGAACAGAACAACTGTATGTACAATAAATCTATACTCAATTACGTTTGAACGAGTACAAGTATTAGTTACTCGGTATATCTAAGTATCTATTTAAAATTAAACACCTCCCAAATAGGGATGATGACAATTTTCTTTTTCTTCGTTTATCAGATAGAGTATCAAAAAGTATTGGACACGTATTTTTTCTTTTTTCACATAATATAAACATTGCAGAGATATATTGATTTGAAACGTCGCATGACGTCACGTTTGAGTACACTTATAAGTGAAAATTCACTCAAAAGTGACGTCACTAGGCCCTACTCCCAAACTTTGACGCGCTATAACTTTATCATTTTTTGGTTGATAGAAACCCAAAGAAAAAATACGTGTCCATTATTTTTTGATCATCTAACTGACAGACTAAATAGAATTTCGTTTACTGTACCCCGTCATCACCCCTATTGCAATAGGAATTTTATCTAAAGAATACCAGAAAACTGGTCCAGATTAGATCAGTACTGTTAATTTAACGCCAGCTCTCACCATCAGGAATGATGGAATATTGAATTTTTAGTAAACTTTTGCGCTATGTAATCTATACGTAAATTAGTTTGTTCCTGATCTCGATGGAGATCAAGGAATTTGGGATCCTGAATATGTCGATGCGAGTACTCGTTCAGACGTTAGGGATGAATCGTTGTCTGTCGAATATCGTGCGAGCGTTACATGCAGCGTGGCACACGCGGGCGCCGCCGCCGCGCCGCGAGCCCTGCGCCGACGCAGACTTCACCTGCTACGACGGCGCCTGCATTACGCACTTGCGCCGCTGCGACAATATCTATGACTGCGCCGACTTCTCTGACGAACAGAATTGTTACAACTCCGGTACAATCAGAAGCTGCGTGCCCGTGAAAAGCGAACGAAACGAAACCGATCTCTCCGTTACTAAAAAATTCATTCCTATATTGGAGAGTTTATCATGACAAGTTTCATATTCGCTTCACTTTTCTGTGCGCACCTGGTGTTCTTTGATTACTGAATGCGCGTTCGCCCCGCATATTTTTTCCGCCCCGACATCCATCTCGGTTTATTTTTAAAGCAGTTTCGTTTCACCAGTAGTTCAGGAGACAAGCCTCAAGTTGCCCGCATGGCTCGGCGTTTTCCATAACTTTTGTTTTCAACCTCGACTAGTGCCAGTGAACGCATCTTTGTTAGTGTTTTGTGTCTCATCGCTTGTTGGCAACATTAGACCATACGCCCGAAACGCCCAAAGTACTTATGATTTATTATTATCCTTTTTGTCCAGTAGGTACTTTGGAAATGCATGAACGTAAAAGAGACCATATTATTTATATAAATAGCTGTTCCATCGCACTATTTGACTCAGATAGCTGTGCAAATGTGCGTACAACATATACCCGCACTGTAAGTGCAATTCGGTACAAGTGGAAATAGAGTTTCCTTTAGATTCTGTATTTTAGACATAATTATACTCCTAGTTTAGCTACTAGTAGTTTCAATATTCCTTCGTATTTTCTTGTAGGTCTTAGATGTTTTTCTTGTAGAAACATGGTACTCGACGGAAAAGCTTACATTCGATGGAAAATCATATTATCTCAAACAAGAGATCGCAGCTATAAAAGCAAAATAAAAGAAATTTCATTTAAAGACAAGCTTTTCCTTTATACCGAGATTTCAGAACTGTAAATGTTATGTAGTACTTCATTGTTTTGTCAAAACATACCTACGTTTACGTTACAAAGGATCGCACTCCGACATGTCAATTTTTAACTTTTATCAAAGTTACTGAACTTTCTTTGTGGAACATAGCAAAGGACACCCGGCATTTTGTGCCAAAGTTGTATACTTTTTTAATTTTTTTATCTGTGTTTCATAATTGGGTAACGTAGTCTGGCAATATTTGTCATCAGCAGCTAGCTGTCAATGTCAAATACGTAGGTTTGTCATCAAAAGGGTTTCTATATCAAAAAATATTAATCATTAAATAACTTCTTTCCACGATTCACTAAAAATAAGGCAAAAGTAGTTTTATGTAGCAAATAATTTTGGCTTTATTTTGAGACCAAATTTAACTGTATACAAGTTTAGCATTTTTTCTATGAAAAGTGCCGGGTCTCCTTTGCAACAGAATCGAACAACGCAACGCTTTACCGAGCGTTTTATTTAAACGGCAACTCCGAGTGCATCCGATGTTCTGTACTCGAATGGCGGTAGATTGTTTTGCTGTTGCGAGTTAGTGAAGAAGCTTTATCCTAGCACTTCCGCATGTTCGTTAATATTCAACGACCGCAGATATACAATCCGGAAGTTGGTTCGCAGCTTGCAATGCGGACGAGTTCCAGTGTGCGACGGGGCAGTGTTTACCGCCGAGTCTGTTCTGCGACGGCACGCCCGATTGCCCCGACGCTTCCGACGAGGTGGACTGCCAGGCGCTGTGGACCACGCCCGGCCGCTACGACCGGCCCCAGGACCCGACCCCGCCGCCCACCACTACCACCACGCGGCGCGTCATCACCACCCAAGCGCCGATTCGAGAACAAAACCCGAACGAGTATGACTACAGCGGCATATACTCAAACTTATTGCCGCCTCAATTAGGTAAAATTATAATAGCGACGTTGTTTAGTTATACTTAAATTATAATATTCATAATGGACCTGAAGGCACACTAAGAATCCACAATCGATATATCGTGAACTTTGTCGTGACAGGTAAAATATTAATATCTATATAGGTATATAAAACTGAAAGGTGACTGACTGACATAGTGATCTATCAACGCACAGCCCAAACCACTGGACGGATCGGGCTGAAATTTGGCATGCAGGTAGATGATATGACGTAGGCATCCGCTAAGAAAGAATTTTGATCAATTCTACCCCCAAGGGGATAAAATAGAGAATGAAAGTTTGTATGAAACTTTGCAAATTTTAAACCGATCGGGCTGAGACTTTGCATGCAGGTATAAGAAAAATCATAGATGAGTGTCATAGTGTATAATACAAGCCTGAGAACAAAAACTGTAGTCTACACTTCGGCTCTACACCGAAGCGTAGCGAGGGCGGGCCGCTAGTATATTATAAGAGTTTTATATCAATATTTAGTTGAGGGCGTACTATTAAAATCCGTGCATGGTCGTGTTGTGTGGTGCATAGTCTACGACATTAAAAATTATGTAAGTTACAATAATATGGACGATGATAACGATTGCGATACATTGATTATCTATTTTGAGAGTACAGCTCCTGATTTTGGGATGATTCTCTAAGCCTAAAATGATTGTCAATAGTTTGATCGTTATCATACACAGAAAGGAGACACTGCTGTCAAATTATGATATTTGTTACAGAATCATGTCATAATTAGGCCCAATATCATATTGTATCAAAGTTTAAGTGTAGTGTTTAGAGGATAAAGATAATAATTGGAACAGTCCAAACAATCAGGCACAAGGAAAGACGCAATGCGAAAGGAATAATACAGACTGAGTTTACCACTTAGTAAAGTATATAAATAAGAAATGGAATAACTTCTAGTTTCCTAAATTTTAAAACGACCTATCAGATGGATGCAAGAGGGACGAGTGGAGATGCGAGAACGGCCCTTGCATACAGTCGTACCGGCGTTGCGACGGCCACATCGACTGCCCGTTAGACACAAGCGACGAGTTGGACTGCCCGGCTGGCAGTAAGACCATGAGTCGATCTCAATCTTCACTTAACTCCACTCGCCTTATCTGTCACTTCTTCAGAATAACTTTAAGCGCTAATGCACTTTTCTGAATTTAACCTGAATATATGCTCATCTTTTTTACATAAAATGGCCTATTGTTTCGTTTCTGTTTACATTAATTTATAGTGTACTGATTCATTTGATCATTAAATAATTCAGTTTCAGAATCTTCACTGAATAAAAAATGACGAACGAATAAAGAACTTCATTCTTTCTGAGTTTGCTTTAAAAAGCAGACATTTCAGGGATGCGGAAAAAGGCATTTAGCACTATATGTGTATTGTGTAAATATGTAAGACGGCTAATAGCTTAAACAAACGTTTATCAAAATTTGTTAACTATCAGCCGTGGTTGAATATACTAAAAAAATAAAATAATTATTTAATATTTACTAATAAAAATTAACTCACGACTTCTTTTTTTCAACACTCAACTAACTAGTAACAGAAATTAAACATACATATTTGTGTTAACATACTAAAAGAGTAAAAGCTGAAGAGTCACGAGGCTTATAAGTCTTTAGGCAACTAATGACATCTTGGTGTAAATAAATTATCTCAATCATAATTGGTGAGGGGTCACTCTTAAAGATGTTATGCCATTAATGTAAATATTGAATAGTAACGGTTCCAACGATGAACCCTGAGGCACACCTGATGGAATAGAAAGTTTTATAGAGGTGTGCATTCATAAAGTGCTATTCGTCTGGCTACGATTTGATTGCCACGGAAACCATCCATTTTAAACTCGCACAAGACGGTGTTGTGATTAATTGGATCAAAACATTTAGAAAATGTTGATGATGTTGATATATTTTTTTAATTATGGTATTTTAAACCTCATTCTCGTAAAAGGTTTAATTCTTATTAAATTCACAATTAATCATTGTTATAATAAAGGTATAACTCACATGTTATAAAGAACACAAACTCCATAATATTCAGTTATTGATAAAATTCTCTCTTTCATGGACTTTTTCAAGATAAAACAGTTTGTTCACGATGTTACCTTTATTAAACATATATTTAAAGCATAATATTAAAACTGATTTCATTTGCAGGTCCGCTAGCTTTGAACCTGAAAACTTATCCATCGGAACAAGTGGTTAGAAACGGTAAGGATTTACGTACTTTATTTGTTAACTTTTAAATTGACGTTGGTTATTCTATATGTGTCGAACATCTAAAAAGTAGATACAAAGCATGACAGTTTGTTGTCCTAAGTACGCCTTTTGATATCTATTTTGGTAAAGAAATGTATATAACATTTTCGAACAGAACAGAGTGCTGCACACTGTTCTAGTCAAATAGCTTCGATGATGAGCACATGATGCAGTCTCTATTGGAATACAAAATAACAATCAACAGCTTACTTATGTACAGCTATTTAGTCACCAATTTTTCTAAAGAATATTGAAGCTCTTTATGAGGAACACATATAATATTTATTACCACTTACGACAACGATATTGTGTACTGAAATATTTATCACAAACTATAAAAATACATTTTTTTGTAAATATTTTCTACAACCATAAGGCAAGGAATGCAGGTGAGCTATCACTGGATCCAAATAAATTAATGTTTAGTTTAACATAATAAAATATAAAATATGTAACTTGTAATTGCTCCATATGTTACTAGATATTCTAAGTTATATTATTTGTTTACATAAAAAATGTAGCGATCTTGTTTAAGATTACGTCCTTTAGTGTAAGTTGTAGGGACCTATTAATTTATCTTCTATGGTGGCGGTGACCGGATCTCCTAAATGTTTTATATGTAAAAAAATCTATTAGTGCTTTTTTTATGTGCGTATAATTAATTTAAATATTATCTCTTTCATGGTGGCGGTACAGCCATATATCCCTATGGTGAGTCGGTGGGCTAAGTATTATTAGGAATGTTTGCACAATGGGTTTCTTAACAACACATAACTGGGTTTTTAATATATATTTTATAAAGTATTTTTATATGAGTAAAATTTACTACTTAATTAAAGTGTTTTCTATTTTACACAGGTCTAACCCTAGTTTAGTTGTTTGATCAAGGGTTTTTTATCTTTTGGTTGAATTAAAATATAAACACATTAATATTAACATTGTTTGACTTGTAACGTTTTTAATACAGTATGTTGACTAAAAGTCAGTCAACATAAAATTGGATTGATTCAACTATAACATGCCTAATAAACAACTTGTAATGATTTCCACCATACTTTAGAGTGCTATATTTCATGATAACACTTTTTGCTTTTTGAAAATATATAGTAATTAATGGTACATGTTTTCCCGAATATCAAACGTTTGCATAATCGTCAATTCCTCTATTCTCAATTTGTTAAAACATCTTAAGAATGTACACGTATTCATATCTGCTTCATTTAATACATTAATTTTTGAATTATTAACTTTTATTAAGTATATCATTAACTTGTGCACGATATAATGGGATATTTTTTGTTTTAGTAAGTATATACTTCTGAAGTCATGGTTTTTCAATAATTTCATTATTCTTATATGTATAGTCGAGTGACTCATTTATATGAATCTTTATTTGTGTCATTCGACCATCATCTCCGAAAATTATATCAAAATGGGTTTATCTAATAACACCGCTATGTATGTAATTATTATATTATATATGATATTTCACAAACACTTAAATAATATACAAAAGTGTACACTTTTTAACAAGTTACATCAACAATTGCATCAAGTCCATCAAACATGTCAGCCGTAATATGAAAGTAAATTCATCGTTAAGGGTATTACATCATCGACAATTAATTGAATTCTGAATCAAAGTTTTAATTCCATGCTTGCATAAATTGTCACCTGAGCACTGGGGCCATAAAAAAGGAAATACAGTTTGTATGATGATATCGAATTTGTAGGTGGTGACGTTGTGTTCCAATGTCGTGACGAGGGTCCGAAGAGAGCTCCCGTCAGGTGGATAAGGGAAGGAGGTCGTCCTCTGAAGCCTGGATCCACGGACAAGAACGGACGTTTAGATATGAACCAAGTCACGGTACGTCGGGGAGCCAAATAACGCCATTGAGAGCACGCAACTTCCCAAAGCTTACCTCCTTTTAATGTCAACACTGTTTGCTATTTCCAGACGGCGGATAGTGGAACTTATATTTGCCAAGCGATCAACTACTTAGGCTCTCCTGGCTCTGAGGTCAGGGTAGTTCTCAATGTTGATTCTTCGCGTAAGTATTACCACAAAATCACAAGATAATTGCAATTTTTAATGATTTCCTAAGAAATAAGAGGTCTTTTAAATTTCTTCAAAGGGAATATGTTATAATTGTACAATTTGATATTTTTTTCAGCCGTTACACATAGACCTCGCAATTTCGCATGCGAAGCATTCGAAGCCACCTGCGGCAACGGCCAATGTATTCCGAAGTCAGCCGTGTGCAATGGTGTCGTCGATTGTGCGGACAGAAGCGATGAGGACAATTGCTGTAAGATCTCGCTCCAATAACAAAGATCCTTTAAACTTTATATCCCTTTGTATTATGTTTCGAGAAGGTAAACTTATTTTATATTTTCCAAAACTTTTTTAATTTAGTTCTAAAAAAGCTAATCATGTTTAGGCTTCAGTATATCTCTTTTTGACTTTAAACAATTGACAAAGCTGATATGATGTGTTCGAGAAGATTATCTAAACCTTAAATTAAATTATGTGATATTGTCCGTCCCTTAAGCCTCTCCTGCAGATTGCCACTATTTAGTAGGAAGAAATAAAGAAAATGCATTTTATTGACCATAGACGCAAATTTATATGTAAACAAAAACAATAGGCTAACAACAATAAAATAAAAACAAAACAGAGAAACACAAAGGAGAAAGAAGAACGGCCGATCTGGACCCTGCCTCAGCTTAATGCTGTTATCGTGGAAGAGAATATTCCCACCATAACTGCGCTGGTATTCTGGCAGAGCCTGTAAGAATGCTAGAGGGACAAAATATTAAAGTAATATAAACTTATAAGATGGTATATAAAATAAAAAGGAGAAACGCTTTAAACTTTGAACCTGTATTTCAGATGTGGATGGCAAATGCCAGCCGAACGAGTTCAAGTGCAACAACAACAAGTGCGTGCTGAAGACGTGGCAGTGCGACTCGGAGAACGATTGCGGCGACGACTCCGACGAGCTGAACTGCGAGCACGGCGCGCCCGGACAGTGCAGGACCGTCGAGTTCGCCTGCGCCAGCAACGACCAATGCGTGCCCAAGAGTTTCCACTGCGACGGACAGAGCGACTGCATCGATGGCACCGACGAAATCGGATGCTGTGAGTTTTTGGACTCTATGAGCATATCAGGGACTATTCTTAGATTTTTATTGAATCTAGCATTTTCGACTTGCACGTTTTTTTATACTACATATTTACACCATACTTATGTCGTCGTTTCAAAGACTCATCTAATATAAATTCATTAATGAGTCTCGTTTGAAGAAATTTCATTTGAAGAAGCAGCAGGTCTTTAAGGCTTTTCCTATTCTGAGGAATAAAACATCTTTTATAGTCATCTCATTTCGGGTTTAATTTATTTGCTCGGACGATATTAATGTGAGGTGTTTCCCGCAGCACCCGTTCGAATCACATCGGTTCCCAAGCCCTCCAACGTGTTCCTGAATGTGGGCGACACTCTCGTCCTGAACTGTTCGGCGGCCGGCATCCCGGCGCCCTTGATCACGTGGCGCCGCAACTGGGGAGACGTGCCGGAGACCTGCACCATGCAGAACCAGAACTACAATGGTCAAGTCGTCGGCATCCTCACCTGCACGAACATGTTGGTGAGTGAAGCGATCAAATTTCCTTTAGTTTTGAAGTGTAGCAATTCGTCAGCTTCCTCCATCCAGTGAGTCAATCGGAGCCGATCGCAAGCGATGCATCTTTATCGTTAATGTTAATTACAAAATCCACAATTTCAAATGTTGTGCAAAGTTTCATCATCAGCCTATTAATGTCCCCACTGCTGGGGCACAGGCCTTCTCTATGAATGGAATAGGGAGATTGGGACATGACGCACCACGCGGGCCCAGTGCGGATTAGCGGGTGCTAACGACTGCAGATGCAACCGGGACCAACAGCTTAACGTGCCTTCCGAAGCACGAAGGAGCTCGAGATAGTAAATTTTTAGTCACCCATCCAATGACCGACCACTGCAAAAGTTGCTTAACTTCAACGATCGCAGCCGAACGCGCTAACCACTTGCGCCATCGAGCACCTCCAAAGTGCAAAGTTTGGAAAACTAAAATTTGTTCCAATGGATTCTATGGAAATATCAGAGGTATTATTATTAAATAAAAAAAACAGTAATATTTCTAAATTCTACATCCATTATATAAACTTTTTTTTCGATTTCAGCCTGACTACAACGGCGCTTACTCATGCGAAGCTATGAATAACAAAGGGACAGTATTCGCCGTGCCCGACGCCATTGTCTTCGTTAATCAGAGCAATGTCTGTCCAACCGGTTACTTCAACAGGTAAATAATTCGATGCTAACTATTCACGCAGGTAAAAGAGCAGAATTGCTACTTATAAGTATCGAAAATATGAATTTGTTAAACCTACATTTGTTTGATTCAGCGAGGCCCGCTCCGAAAGAGAGTGCATCCGATGCTTCTGCTTCGGTGAATCGACGCAGTGCCACAGCGCGGACCTGTTCACGTACAACATGGCCACGCCCCTCGGCGAGGGCGGCACCAGGCTGGTGGGCGTCAAGAACGCTGCCAACGGAGATGTCCAGATGGACACGCAGCCGATCACCGAACAGTACTACTATCAGCCATTGAGGAACGGCGCTACGGTAAGTTCAGAGTACAAACATTTTACGTAATCAATACGAAAATATTGAAGTACGTTTTTATTATTTAGATTGTGTTGCTGTAAATTGTAGTCACCACCTCCAATAGGTGTTATTTAACTACCAATAAACTAAAAGTTTCAAACTAACAGTTTAAAAAAAATAACTTGTTTGTGACCAGTGATGTCCACATTTGTCGTACAGGATGTACCCGCTAAACTAAATAACAGCGCTTAAGTAGCTAGAACAGTAGCTTATTCATTTACAAATTAAAGACTGCTAAATTTCAGGCTGGAATTCAATATTGGAATTATTTTTCAAATCTCTAAGAATTTATCTTAAGATGATGATCACATAATTATAATATCATAGTCATTGACCACCCCCGCGTCTATGCCTGCCTATATAATAATAATGCCATTCTCGAAAATCGCGATCCTTGATGATATCAATGCCCACCACTCCGAATGGCTTGGACCACGCAATATTGATCACGCAGGTAGATCTGCTTACGATTTCGCCTTGGCATATGGTCACAATTAGTTACCTCGCCAACGCGAATCCCAGATGTCGAAGACCATACATCTTCACTGTTGGGCCTTTTGCTGACCTTACATGCGGATAATTACGAAATGTCCATCTTGGCTCCTCGAACCATTATCTAATCGGGAGAATAGTGCCACTCACCTACTCACCGCGGCCGCAATTTGCTGGCTGTTGCCGTGTGTGGCACTACAAGTCAGCAGATTGGGATGGGATTCTTTCTTTGCGGTTTGTTTCTCGCAAAACGGTCCCAAAATCGTTGCTCATTCTGTCGCGATGTTGTTTTCCAGGGTATGGAACTTTTTGCTCCTTCCTCTGTGATTCCCATTGGTAGCAAATCCTAACCTTGGTTTGTTCGCCACTGTAAACTGGCATCTTACCAAAAACCAGAGGTCAGGCCTGGGAAGCGGCGGTTCGGGATGAAAATACCAGCGACCTCAAAAAAAAAGTATGACTCAGCTGCAAAAGAGTGATTGCTAGGGCAAAGTACACCATCAGCATGGGCAAAAGATTTATCAACCTACCCTCTGAAATTCGCGCGTTTTGGTCTCTTACCAAGATTGTTGAAGAAAGCTTCTGCAGGCTATCCCTACCACCCCTATACAATGGTGATGAATCGATGGCCCACACTGCAAAAGAGAAAGCGGAACTTTTAAGCTCACTTTTTGTATCTAACTCGTCAATGTAAATGACAGGGACAATACTCACCGCCGACCATCCCGCAATGTTCTCACATAGAGCTCTCGCTCTATGCCGGATATCTAGTTTACACAACGCCTAGTGCTCAGAGCACTCTTCTCCTTTGATATTCACAAGTCGAGTGGGCCTGATGGATTCTCACCAGTTGTGCTGAAGACGTGTGCTCCTGATTTGGCTCCAGTACTAACGCAACTTTACCGGCTCTCCTACTCTTCAGGCGGTGTTCTAAGCTCATGGATGACAGCTTAAGTGCATCCGATTCCAAAAAAAGGCGACCGCAATCTTCCTGCCAACTACAGACCTATAGCTATCACCTCCTTGTTCTCCAAAATAATGGAATCTTTTATCAACTGCTAGCTCCTTCGGTACCTGGAAGACCACTGGCTGATCAGCGATTACCAGTACGGTTTCGGTAGAAGTTTTTCGGCTGGTGATCTTCTAGTTCACTTGACGCATCGTTGGGTAAAGGCGATCGAGACCAAGAGGGATGCATTAGCGGTCAGTCTAAATATCGCCAAGGAGTCTGACACAAAGCGCTTCTTTCGAAGCTTCCTTCTTATGGGCTTCCCGAAAAACTGGGCATTGGGTCACAAACTTACTTGCGGGTAGGAACATCAAGGTCGTAGTTGACGGTGCATGCTCGGACACTATACCCGTAAACCCCCAAGGCTGTGTGCTATCGTCTACGCTGTTTTTTCTGCATATCAATTATATGCTTTAAATTGAGGTGATGCCTTAATATCGACCGTGCAAATAATTTACGTTAAAACGTAATGGAGAGCCGGAACAAACTTGTGTAGGAAGTTGAGTCTTTGCTCAGTAAAGTATCAAATTGGGGGCGGCTTAATCGTCTGAATTAACAAAAAAAATACCATTTGTCGTATCCCTCCTTTTTGAGAACACTTCCCTTGCTGCCTCAGCTAGTATCGGTATTCTTGGCGTTGACATATCCAGCGATATCCAGTTCCGAGTTCATCTGGAGGGCAAGACTAAATTGGCCTCTAAGAAGCTTGGTGTGCTCAATAGATCGAGGGGTACTACATAGCGGCCCACCGACTACAACTTAGCAACTTAGCAAAGCATAGGTTCAGCCTCACATGGAGTACTGTTCTCATCTTGAGGAGGCGGTAGCTCAGTACCAGCTTCTCCAACTGGATCGCATCTAGTAAGTCGTAGTCGAGCGGCTCGAATTATCGACGACCAGGACTTTCCGATAGGCTTGATCCTTTGGCTTTGCGTAGAGATGTAGATTCGCGCCGCATCTTCTGTCGAATTTATCACGGGGAGTGTTTTGAGAATTTGTTCGGATTAATACTTAAACTTACTTAAGCTGCTGTATTTCGCTATCGTACGTCGTGCCAAAAATTTTAAACCCCACCATAATTTCATCTTGATGCGTGGTTATCCACAACCTTGCGAGTTTGTCGCAATTATTTACCTCGTACGACAGAACTGTGGAATACATTTTCACCAGCAGTATTTCGGACCAATATGAATAGAAACCCTTCAAATAAAAGCGTACCCCTTCCTTAAAGGCCGGCATCGCATTTGTGATACTGCAGGTGTTGCAAGAGTCTATGGGAGACGGTGATCACTTACCATCAGGTGAACCGTCATGCCCCCTATAATATAAAAAAAAAACAACAGGCCTGTTTTCATTGTTATTCATGAGGTTTTTTGCCGTAATAAGATAACTTATTCGTATTTTGTGACAGGTGACAAAACTAGCTCGCTACAACACCGGATGGGGTTGGTCCAGCGCGTTACCATACCTCACGCTGCCCGAGTCATACAACAGCAACCAGCTAACTTCATACGGAGGACATATCCGCTACAGAGTCACTCCCCACAACTATGGGCCTGACGTCAGCGGACCGGACGTTATCATAAAGGTCAGTGATGTAAACTGATTTCGAGACGGTTCGATTTGGGAAGATTGATCTTTAGCAATCCTTTTGTAAAGTCAGCACTTAATGCGCTGCATGCTAACGAGATTGAGTGATACTGATTGTGAGTAACTTACTTTTCATAAATCACAATTAACAGGGCAAGTACCAGACATTGGTACATTACAGCCGCGGAAGCCAATCACAAATCGAAGCACGACTCACCCCTGAAAACTGGCAAAAGCCTTCTTCTAGAGGACCCATGCCCGCCACCAGGGAGGACATCATGATGGCGTGAGTAAACCCTTTATTCTTTCATAAAAGAAATCCCATTAATTAAAAACATAACTTGTTTGGTGGTATATAATAAATAATAATAATAGTTTATTTTGCCACAAAGATAATGATTACTTACATAACTTATTATCACATAGGTATGACACAATTTTGACATAATACTATAGCTGCTGGTACTTAAAAAAGTATACTTTGTGCTATAAGTACCAGCCTCTTTCCAAATTCACATCATTTGATTATTGATTTTAACCCAAAAACTTTGACAATAATTAATTTAGGCAATATATATATGCGTGTGTGTGTGTGTGAGTGTGTGTGTGTGTGTGTGTGTGTGTGTGTGTGTGTGTGTGTGTGTGTGTGTGCGTGTGTGTGCGTGTGTGTGTGTGTGTCTTTTCCTGTTGTCTATGTGAATAAAAGAAAGGACATTGGGTAAATATGTATGGACGCTGCACCCCCAGTATAGCAGATTGGAGAATAGAAACAATGTAAACTTCAAAAACTATTTATTGATGCTGATCTCACTTCAAGTATAACTGTAATTTTGACTAAGGTGGTGTAAGAGTTCGTGATATGATTCCCACTTTCAAAATGTTATCCGATACGAGACCTTATGACTCATATTGTTTCGTCTTGGCAACATTTCACATGAGCAGTTCAATTTGCCACGTTTATACCTATATTGAAAGTTCTAATAGCGCGTACTGAAATGGCATCTTCCTCTAGATTGGACGACATCGAGATGATTCTGCTGCGCGCGAGCGTGAACAACGCCGGCGTGAACATTACGGATTTCGTGATGGAGTCGGCGCGCCACATCAACATGGGGCTCGGAGTCGCCAGCCTCGTCGAGGAGTGCACCTGCCCGCCCGGCTACGAGGGGCTGTCGTGCCAGGTAAGGAAAACGATATTTATTCACATCCAGCCAACAACTGTAAATGATCTTACTCGTATTCCTAGTTGCATTATGAGCGATCTTTACCGGCGATACTAACTACAAGATACAAAACAAAATACAAAACTAGTTTATTTCAGTAACTTAGCCTACTACAATGTATGAGTATGGTACTGAGGAGCTCTAGCCAGAATGGATAGAACCTGGGGACGTGGCTATTTATTAAAACAACTTGACGATGGTTATTATTTTATATTAGATTTCAGGCGAGTATAATTATTTTTATCTAACTACGAAAGGTTTGCTTGGTGCCTGAAGATCTACTCTTGAATGGAATCTTCTATCAAAAAGACAGACGATTCCTTATTTCAAATCTTAAAATCATGACATTAACTTTTCAATATAACTGCCGACCGTAGGCATTGCAAAAGCAAAGAGTTTACCTAAACAAGGAGGCCGTAACGTCACGGACGTTACAATACATCCTTTTGAGCAGTAAAATTGCTTGTGTTAGGATGCACCGCTCTTCCATAGCTCGGTTACAATAGGCCAATTAACAATCCGCCATATATGTATTTATAATATTAATGGATTACATTAATATATAGTTAAAGTATTTTTTTTTTTCAAAATGATTTCAAAATTTATACATAAACTAACATTGACACATTCTCCTTTTGTTTTTGAGGGTATAAACATTTTTTTTGTTATTTTTTTTTAACAGATATTAAGATATAGTTGGATCTCATTTCCATTAAAGTCGCCATATTTTGCATCTATAGTTTAAATCTTAGATCTTGTAAAGAAACATTTAATTTAACATCGTTCTTGACGTTTCGGATCATTGAAAGGCTTCGTTCTCACAAGACCCTAAGCTTCTTCTTAAACTACTCCAATAATAAGTGTCAGTTCAACAGGGGTGGATGGAGAAGCATTTTATAAAGAGGTCCTTCTCTCCAAAATCCACTTTCACTTAAAAAAGGTATGGCATAGCGGATGTTCGCTCGAATTGGAGCGTCCGTCTGAGGAAGTAACCTTTACCTTACAGAAGACCACAGTAAAATAACATGTTTTTATAATTTTTATTATTTTAAAGCATATAACTGCTTGATGTTTAAATCTAAAGAAAATATAACTAGAAAAATTTCACGCGGACCAGGCAGCAGACGGGACTCGAACCGAATTATAACTATAATTCCTATTTCTTCTTTCAAATGTTTAATACTTGTAAAAGTATTCATTTGACATTGTGGGTTACCTATAATGCGAAGAGATGGCGCTGCCTTGCAGCTTAAGAATGGCTAGAAGAATTTCGACGCGGTCCGTGAGGGCTGCGGTAGCATAATTGGTCAGTGCATTCGCCCGGATTGCGAAGGGTGCGGGTTCGAGTCCCGTCTGCTGCCTGGTCCGCGTGAAATTTTTCTAGTTATATTTTCTTTAGATTATAACATGTTTTGTTCCAAGGCTCCGTGGGGTAAGGTATGGGGTCAGGGTAGGCAACGTGCGCGAGTGGAATTGTTGTATCGCAAGTGTCTATACCCTTGGTTCCGAACCTGGGGATAATTACCCCTCCGGGGGTAAATCAGCCATATTGGGGGGGTAACAAAGAACCTAATTATTTGGTCAAATCTAAATAATAAGAAAATACTATATAATAATTAAATAGAGCATGCGCTCCTTCTTGCTAGCGAGCCGAGTGCTGAGTGTGGGAAGCGGGGCGAGATTTTTTCCTGATGACGACATTATTAGAGACGAAGATGTAGCGGCCAAATTGGAATTTCTTGGACTGATGATAACATTTTAAAGTCTGGGTAAAACTTTGTTTTCCTAATAGGTTACAGGGGCAGCAGTATTGGAAAGGTTAAGGCTTACGCAGACCGGGACGGCATGGCAAGGGATTTAAATTTTTACTAATGGACATTCAACCGTACTTTTACAGAAATACGACATAAATTGCTATGCTTTAAAATGATGCCGTGGCATTGAAAGGGATTTTATCGCACGGCATTAAAAGATGTGCCACAGGCTCCCGTGGCGGGATGCCATAGCATACATACTGCGGTAGGCAACGGCATGCCACGGACTCCGGCGCTCGTAGTGTTATACTGCGGGTTGCGGCGGCGGGGGTAGAGAAACGGGGAATTCACCCTTAGATTCACTTTCTTTCCATAGATTATCAACCCAAAATCTTCTTCTATCCCTATTATTAGCCTATGCACCTACTTCTTCATCTGCAATAACCGATATCAACACCAAATCCCAATCTACCATTTTAAAACTGAGGCACACCAACATTCGATCAAACGCAACTGAAGACTAAAAGTGTATCGGGCAGCAGTGCCGCGGCACGCCGTGGCATGCCGTGGCATAGTGCTGGAATGCCGCGGTATCCAAGCGGCCAGTGTGCGCTGACTCACAGCCAAATCCCTTGCCATGCCGTCCCGGTCTGCGTAAGCCTTTAGGAAACACTGGTCTATAAGACATGGTGGCCACTTACCATCAGGCGGGCAAATAAACTCGCTTGTCTCCCTTATCTAATATATAAAATTCTCGTGTCGCGGTGTTTGTGGTTAAATCCCTCCGAAACGGCATTTCCGATTCTCATGAAATTTTGTGTGCATATTGGGTAGGTCTGAGAATAGGACAACATCTATTTTTCATCTCCCTAAATGTTAAGTTACCCTTATTTTTTTGACAGCATTTTTCGTTTTGATTTTTTATGATACATCATACAAAAATATTATGTACAACTTTTAATTTTGACCCTTCTATCACCAACCCCTATTTTTTTGCGGTACGAAATTCGCTGAGACAGCTAGTCTATATATATAAAACTCAAAGGTGACTGACTGACGTAGTCATCTATCAACGCCCAGCCCAAACCACTGGACGGATCGGGCTGAAATTTGGTATGCAGGTAGATGTTATGACGTAGGCATCCGCTAAGAAAGGATTTTGATCAATTCTACCCCCAAGGGGATAAATAGGGAATGAAAGTTTGTATGAAACTTTGTCAATTTTAAAACCGAACGGGCTGAGACCATGCAGGTATAAGAATAATCATAGATGAATGTCATTGTGTATAAAACAAGCCTGAGAACAAAAACTGTAGTCTACGCTTCAGCTCTACACCGAAGCGAAGCGAGGGCGGGCCGCTAGTTTAATATAAAAATCCTTGTCGTTTGTTTAGAAATGCGCCCCCGGCTACAGTCGCTCGTCGTCCGGTCCGTGGCTGGGCGAGTGCGTGCGCGATCGGCCCACGTGCCCGGCCGGCACGTACGGCGACCCCGCCAACGCGTACGCGTGCCGCCCCTGCCCGTGCCCCCTCACCAACCGGGAAAACCAGTTCGCCAGCTCCTGTGCTCTGCGCCCCGACGGGAACGTCGTCTGCGACTGCGCCGCTGGGTGAGGATTAACCAACACTTATGTTGTTGCAACGATTCTTCGCATCATCTCCGCGTCTATACTCCACTGTCACTTAACATCAGTAGGGGTGGATTCAATAGGGGTGATGACGGGGTACAGCAAACGAAATTCTATTTAGTCCGTCAGTTAGATGATCAAAAAATAATGGACACGTATTTTTTCTTTGGGCAACCAAGCAAAAAATGACAAAGTTATAGCGCCTCAAAGTTTGGGAGTAGGGGCTCGTGACGTCAATTTTGAATGAAAATTGTACTTGTTTAATTGTAAAACGTGACATCATGGGACTTTTCAAATCAATATATCTCTGCAATGTTTATATTATGTGAAAAAAGAAAAAATACGTGTCCAATACTTTTTGAAAATTTGTCATCATCCCTATTACACTTACATTATATAATTACTAGGTACTTGATTACCTTTCATTACACCTACCGGCGTTTCTGCAATCGATTTTTTTTGTCGTATGTAAAACATAGTTTAAGTACGGGTTGTCAATCGATTTCGAATTTTATAAGCTAGGAATGAAATTGAGAACGAACCGATACACCAAGATTCCACAATCATCCAAGTTCATTACAGCGTAGGCTGCAGAGCTAAGTCTCTTCGACAATTTTCCAATATGTTGGCCCCAGTGAAGCATCGTATCTAGTGTAATGCCTTAGAATACTGTAGAGTCAACCAGGTCCATATTCTTATCCTTGATAATCGACAATTTTCCATTAAGTTGGCCCCGGTGAAGCTTCGTTTCTAGTGTAATGCCTTAGAATACTGTAGAGTCAACCAGGTCCATATTCTTATCCTTGATAATCGACAATTGTCCAATATGTTGGCCCCAGTGAAGCTTCGTTTCTAGGGTAATGGCTTAGAATACTGTAGAGTCAACCGGGTCCATATTCTTATCCTTGATAATCGACAATTTTCCATTAAGTTGGCCCCAGTGAAGCTTCGTATCTAGTGAAATGCCTTAGAATACTATCGTGTCAACCAGGTCTATATTCTTATTCTTGATAATCGACAATTGTCCAATATGTTGGCCCCAGTGAAGCTTCGTATCTAGTGAAATGCCTTAGAATACTATCGTGTCAATCAGGTCTATATTCTTATCCTTGATAATCGACAATTGTCCAATATGTTGGCCCCAGTGAAGCTTCGTATCTAGTGAAATGCCTTAGAATACTATCGTGTCAATCAGGTCTATATTCTTATCCTTGATAATCGACAATTGTCCAATATGTTGGCCCCAGTGAAGCTTCGTTTCTAGTGTAATGCCTTAGAATACTGTAGTGTCAACCAGGTCCATATTCTTATCCTTGATAATCGACAATTGTCCAATATGTTGGCCACAGTGAAGCTTCGTATCTAGTGTAATGCCTTAGAATACTGTAGTGTCAACCAGGTCCATATTCTTATCCTTGATAATCGACAATTGTCCAATATGTTGGCCCCAGCGAAGCTTCGTATCTAGTGTAATGCCTTAGAATACTGTAGTGTCAACCAGGTCTATATTCTTCTCCTTGATAGTTACATTGGTTTTTAACTGCTTTACATTGGGTAATATTTTATTTATTATTTTTATGAGGAGCTCGATGGCGCAGGTGGTTAGCGCGTTCGGCTGCGATCGTTGTAGTTAAGCAACTTTCGCAGTGGTCGGTCATTGGATGGGTGACCAAAAATTTACTATCTCGAGTTCCTCCGTGCTTCGGAAGTCACGTTAAGCCGTTGGTCTCGGCTGCATCTGCAGTCGTTAGCACCCGCCAATCCGCACTGGGCCCGCGTGGTGGGTTATGGCCCAACCTCCCTATTCCATCCATAGGGAAGGCCTGTGCCCCAACAGTGGGGACATTAATAGGCTGATGATGATGTTGATGAATATTTTATTTAAACATTATTGGCGTGCAACTTTAACAGCTATGAAGGCGTCAACTGCGAGTACTGCGCGCCTGGCTACATCGGCAACCCTCTGCTGCCCGGCGACTCGTGCAGACCCAAACCCAGCGACATCTGCAACCCGGTGGGCACCATCCACGAGCGCCTGCTCGACGACTGCGAGTGCAAGGACAACGTGCAGGGACGCTACTGCGACCAGTGCAAGAACGACTCCTTCTATCTCTCCTCTGACTTCCGGTAAGAGGGTGTTCTCAATTGTCTTCAATTGTAGCGTAAGATATTTCTATTAGTCCTTGCCATTTTCATCAAACTCATTTTTTTGGAAATATCACACTAATATTATAAAGGCGAAAGTTTGTGAGTGTGTGAGTATGTGAGTGTGTAGTAGATTCACACATAGGCTACTTTTATCCCGAAAAAGTGTTAGGTTCCAGAGGGATTTTCAAGCAACTAAGTTAACGCAGACGTAATCGTGGGCGATCTCTAGATAATCTCAATAAAATAAATTAGTATTCCATACTCTTGTAATCTATAATATCTTTCGTACATGTACGTAGGTACACTTGAAATCTCTAGGCTTGCCATTCAAAGAAAATTGATGCGTAAATATTGAAAACTTTAAATTCTGTAGTGATCAAAAAACGGAGCAAAATTAAAAATAAAAACGACAGGTTGCACTCCGGGAGTGCCGGCAGAAGTGAAAACTTGAATATTATTAACGTTGTGCATTTTTGATACTTTGGAATGGTTAGGGAATAATAATTTGCACGAATTGCTTTAATTATCAGTATAAAAGTACTATCATATATGTGGTAGAACAAAATATTTATTTATTGCTCTGTCGTACACAAACATGACAATTTACATTACATTAAAAAGTTTATCTCGCAGAAAAATCAACTTACATGAATCACATTTAAGCGCACCTAGCGACATCTATTGTAAAAAAAATGCATTTTCTTCTCAATAAAGCTACCACCTGGACGTCCTAGATAATCTTGTTTTAAATTACTATGTTTCTGCCAATATATTGAAAGTCACCAACCTTTCCAATTTTATTGTTTTCGTCTTACGAATTTTCGATTAGCTCACGTGTTCTGACGCAATCAGACCACGTGTCCTGACGCGAGCTTAACATTTTTTACCTATACAAAAAAAATGTACAACGCCGCTACAAAAGATTTCACTTCAAAAAAGAAAAAATGCTTTCAAAAATTAAGTCGTGCTGTTACAGCCCAGAAAATAAAACTAAAAATTCGTCGCTTAATCATATTCTAGACAAGGATGCGCCCTCTGCTTCTGCTCGGGAGTGTCGCAGCAGTGCAGCAGCAGCAGTCTACGGAGAAGCACCAGCACTGTGCTGTTCAATACACCGGACATTGTCAACCGGATACGCGTGTACAACAGCGCCCCTCTAGGGGGCCCCGACGCGGCTCGCTACAACGCGCCCAAGGAGACCAACCTCACCGCGGTGCTGGCCGGCGGGGAGGTCACTCTCACCGAGTTCGATAGGTCCAAGCCGACCATCTACTACTGGAGCTTACCCGTCCAGTAAGTAAACACAATCCGACACTCAAACATTTTAGTTTTCCAATAAAAATGACCGTCGACTCCTCGTTACTGTCAAGATATCTTCAAAAATAGTACTACCCGTTTCATAGTAAATTTTTAGATTGCAGCCAATGGTGTCGATTCTGGCACGATTCTCTAAATCTAAACTTAAATTTGACAACAGCGTATCCTTGTCATTCTCTATTCAAAATGAAAAGGAAAGACTGATGTTAAATTCAGTTTTAAGTTTAGAGAATCACGCCTGAATTGACACCAGTGTATTGATAAAATGAACTCTATTTCTAGATTCGCTGGCGACAAGGTGACATCATACGGAGGATATCTCAGTTACACGTTGAGCCGCGTACCGTTCCCCGGAGGAGGCAGTTTCAAAAATAACGCTGCTGACGTACAGCTCATTAGTGTAAGTTTTATACGTAAAAAAAACGGTTATTTGCTGTTTACATGCGATAGGAGCGAAACCTACAAAAATGTGAACACGTAAAAGTCCTTCAGCCGCCCGCGGCTTTAATTTTTCCCCGCTATTTTTATTTTATTTTTTTACTATGTTTTTCGTATCTTAGGTTTTTTCGAAATATTTTTTTTATATAAAAAAATACTGTAAAATAATTGCTGACATTGGAATGGTAAGAATTGTTGATAAAATCCAAGCCTGTATTAAGAAACAAATTAGTCACTGCCAAACGTTTAATACTTAACTATTCAGGTATTGGAAAATACTGGGCAAAATTCAATATTTTATACTTAAATTGTTTCGAGAGATAAGATATTATTATCTTAATAAAAGAAAAAAAAACAATAAATGAATAAACCGAGCATGATCGAACCACCGATCATTTGGTGTCGACCCCAAGACCGCCGTTCGGCTATCTGTCTTGTACAGAGAGTTACAGAATAACGGATACCTTGTGACAAATACTGTCGCATTTTCGTTTCATAGAGTTTCAAAACACAACGGTGCTAAACAAATTTTCACTTCAATATGCTAGAAAGAATTCAATTCGTCCCCGGTAGCAGACAGAATTGATGTAATATCCTTCGTTGTCCTCCGTGATAAATAAATAAGACTGTTCGGACCAGATTTAACATTCACATATTTTTTACAGGATAATCGTTTGACGTTCCATTACTTCGGCGACTTCGAAGCTGACTACAGCGGTAATCTGGAAGCAAAAGTGCAGTTCTTAGAGAAAGGGTGGCAAAGGTAGTTTTTAACATAAATTATCTGCATCTTATTCAAACATATTTTGACATCCTATAAGAGCTTGCAATGTTTTACGGCAATCCACACAATACCTTTCGAAACTTGCATATATTTCAGTATGCCTGGATAATCAGCTTTGATTGAACCGACCGCGTCGCAGTTAACCTTTTTCATTGTACAGTAGAATCCGTTTATTATGACTGCGCCTATATTGACCAACCGCCTATTATGACGTAATTACACAACGAAGTTTGGTTTTCATATAAAATTCATTGTAACAATGTCGGATATAATGACTTCGCTTACAGTGTCGCTTATTATGACCCAATTTTAATCAATTTTGTGCGTTTATAGTGACCGACATGGTTCTTTACACCTACTGTAATGTTCGTTGATTCAAATTGAACATCAAGCATTGTTTTTAGTGATATCCTATGTAATAAAATGTTATCTCAACGTCGTAAAGCATTTACAACTGTGGAAAAAGGTGCAATAATATGCTGATTAGAAAATTAAGAATCAAACTCATCTCACAATCTTTTTTCACAAAAATGCTATGCCCTTCGAAGTCATAATAAACGGATTGTACTGTAACAATAAATAAATTGCGTTTCAGGCCCGATGGAAAGGAGGTGTCTCGCGAGCATTTCCTGCTGGCGTTGGCTGACGTGAAAGCTATCCTGATAAAGGCTACGTATACGAACAACGCCCAGGTGGCCTCTCTCGTGAGCGCCAGCATCGACACCGCGGAACCGAACGGCAATGGACCCGCGGCCTTACACGTGGAGCAGTGCGTCTGCCCGAGGGGCTACATCGGCACCTCCTGCGAAGACTGCGCACCTGGATTCACCAGGTACATTTAGTGTTGTCCAAATGCAAGAACAAGACGAGACTTAGCCAGTCCTGGTCTTGGTCTTGCGCCAATACACCTGGTCTTGGTCTTGGTCTTGGACTTGCGCTCCCAGTCTTGATCTTGGTCTTGGTCTTGCAGCAAGAGTCTTGCAATTACCTATTAGACTAATGCTATTTATTAAAGTTTACTGTAGATCTTGTTCTTGCTCAAGTCTTGCACGGTTAGTCTTGGTCTTGATCTTGCTAAAAATACACGGTCTTGTTCTTGGTCTTGGTCTTGCAAAAATGCAAGAACAAGACCAAGACTGCAAGACCAAGACTGAATTTGGGCAACACTAGGTACATTACTTTCATAGTGTGTTCTGATCACCATTCATAATTGCACAACTACATAGTCGTCTGTGTAAATAGGTAATATTAATTGCATTGAGGTAGATTATCCATATGTAATATTTTAAATGTTTTGCACGGCATTTGTATTCTTTTAAATTATTTTTAAGTGGTATCTTTAGTGATTACCTGTTTTATTTATTTTTTGTTTTCTTCTCTGTTCCTGGAAATAATGCATACAGTTAATGATATTTATGACTCTAATGTTAATGAGTCAAAACTATGACTATTTCCTTATATATACTGAATCGACATCTTTTTGTGGGAATCTGATGACCTGATAAACAAGCATTATTATGCTTAGTTTAGGCGTCAGTCTCTCACAAAGTTCTACGTAGCTACTTAAATAACTACCATAAGGTTATTATACAATAAGTGTTTAAAACGTATTTGTAAACAGAGGAGAGAAAAATGAATAAATAGAATAAATAAAATAAAATATTTTTTTTAAAGCAACGTGGAATCAGCAGAAATACTTCCTCTCTTCCTTAATCTTTACAAAACTAATTCGTCGAGATAAAATAAATATTGTTATTTCGATGGTCTTAAGCTACTAAATTAATGATCGTTGCCGTAGATATGAAAGCGGCCTCTACCTGGAGCACTGCGGCCCCTGCGAATGTAACGGTCACTCCAGCATGTGCCACCCGGAGACTGGAGTGTGTTTGGTAAGTCTATATTGGGAATTATTTCCTGTAAACAACCGGAAGTCTTAATATTTAGCAATGAGAACGATTGAACCAATACAAAGAAACATAAAGCAAATGAAATATTTAGGAAGCAAAATCTGGCACGGGTGATGATAGGCCTTCATTTTGGAAACAAAATGTTGCCAATAGATAACACATTTTTACTAAAAAAAAAGTAGAAATTATCTATTATTTGGAAGACCAACAGCTAATTTAAAACAGAAAATATAAGTACATTAGTTACAAATAGCCAATAATAGATCCTCGCAGATAACAAAGGATTAGATAATTAAGGACGCACTATGACAGGGTATATTAATATCAAAGCTACATGGAGTTGGAATTCGTGGAAAAGTCTTGAAATGGTTTTGTTCTTATTTACAAAATAGACGTCAATTCGTACAGATACAGCATTTTTTAATGAACAAATCAATGAAATCAAACAAACAAAATCAGATATTGTTACAATAAATCATTCAATACCACAAGGGAGTGTCCTCGGCTGTGTATTATTTCTAATATATATATCAATGACTTACCAAATACGACAGAATTTAAGTGCGTACTCTTTGCTGATGACATTTTGGTTCTCTTTGCAGTCCCTCGCAACATAAACTTTAATTCGAAAATAGAATCAACATGAAACTCTATAAACCAATAGCTCAAAAATCACAATTTAGAATTAAACAAAATCGAAACTCACATTATACAGTTCCACTCATACCAAAAACCATCCATAGATCTAAAGGAGTTTGAGCATCACTATTACTATATCAGACCTTATGATAAAATTACTATTTTAACACAATGGAAGCATACACCGATATTCGCTGCAATACAGAGTACAATAGTTAAATATTTATCAAAATTTAACATTTGTCAATAAACATATTGGGAATAATACGTCGCGCCGAAGCCTCGCTAGTGTCAAAAAGATCTAAGTTGGCCTGGTTTGAAAGTATATTGAAATTATTACAAGCACGTAAGAGGCATTTCTGTCGATAGTTAGTACATGCTGGAGGGATATATATAATGTTGGGTTAGATTTCCGGGGCTTTACTGAAACTCTAAGGTTAATTTTGGATGAAGCTCCGGGCAATCAATGGCTCTATATGTTATCTTCATCCGAAACATCAAATCCGCAATCTGTCGACGTTTTTCCAATGGGAGAAGATGGTGCTTTTTACAAAGCTCAATATAGCAGGTCGATTCATATTGGTCATGAATGCGAAAACGAGAGATATTTTAAAAACCATTTTTGCATATTTATATACGCCTAATGTAAATATTATACCTCGGACTCCAAATTACTCCAAATTGAATAGAAGTATATCATATTGGATTCGGTCAAATGCTTTGCTATAGTCTGTATAGATGACGTCAACTTGGACCGCCATCCATGGCCATAGTAAGTAAGGGACTCGTTTTATAATACAAGGTTGGAGGCATTTCATCGACTTCTTAGGAAACCATGTTGGGCTTCAGTAAACCAATGTTGAAGTTCCGAATACAGCTGGCCATAAACTATTTTTTCTAAGACCTTAGACTACTATACATAGCTATGAATTTATAAAAAAACGGGTGCGTGTACTTATGTAGGCGCGTGAGAAGTTATCCTTCATTGCCATCGTTTAAAATTAGTTTTTAATTGCATGCATATAATTAATTACAATAAATTAATAAAAAGTCTGGAAAAGGACACAGTCAATAAAGTTCAGTTTTAATTTGGAAAATAAATAAATAATCAAAATATTCAATTAAAATCGCTACTGAATATAATTTATTAGAACATATGTGATTTGCACTTGTATGAAACTCAAACACGTATTCCGAATATACAAACTAGAAACATGTGGATAAATATTATAAATATGAATACCTATAACTGTTACTTTATTACAAAAAATAAAGATGCGGTTTTTGGTTCTACCACACCAATGGTCAAGAGATGGCGCTGTAGTCTCCTGAATCGCGCTTTGGTTCCGTTGTTCCAGATTAATAAATATTTTTGATAGGCCTTCACAATGCAGCACCCACTAAATAGAGATTCTATTTCTATTTTGTTGGTAGATTTTCTTAATGTGCGGTAAACACAAAAGTAACAGCATGAAGTTGGTCGCTAAAGCAGAAGTGAAAACTTGAATATTAACGTTGTGCATTTTTGATATTTTGGAATGGTTACGGAATAATTTTGCACGAATTTCTTTAATTATCAGTAACACTTTATATACACGAATTTTACGAATACACAGCAGTGTGGCCACTACACAGACGGTCGGGCCATCAGCTGTCACCATCCATGGAAGCGCGTGGCACGCTGTAACATAAACACACACGAACATTCGCGCAAGTCTTACGAATTTACGATCAGGTCACGTGTCCTGACGCGAGTTTAACATTTTTTAAAAAAGTGTACAACTCCGCTAAAGAAGTTTTCACTTCAAAAAATAGTGGATGCAGTAATAACAACGCAAAATATATTGTAATGTTGCTCGCAGGATTGCCAACACAACACATACGGTGACAACTGCGATCAGTGCAAGCCGGGCTACAAGCGAGACCGAGCCAACAACTGCGTGCCTGACTACGGTCAACCAACCCAGCCTGCACCGCCGCAGTATATGTAAATAAAATTGTCTACTAATTATTTTAAGAACTGATTAATTTTATAGAAGACTAGCTGACCCAGCGAACTTCGTACCGCCCTAAAAAAATAGGGGTTGTCCAGCGGACAAAATTGTGAATCTAAACCATTCTCAGATCCCCTTGAACACACACAAAAAATTTCATCAAAATCGGTCCAGTCGTTTAAGAGAAGTTCAGTGACATACACACTCACAGAAGAATTATATATTTAAAGATATACTCGCTAACACAGAGCAAACCCTCTAGAGAGCGTATACAATGGCACCAGCTTACGCCAGGCTTATGCAATACTGCACATAACCCTAAGGCCGTATACCAGAAAGAAAGCCGAAAGCCGATCAGTGCCGATCAGCGCTTATCGGCTTTATAAATCTAATTACTTTATCTTTTATTAACTAAGCGCTAAAATTATTTGTTTGGTACCTACCGAATGGTGACAACAAGTCTTTCTTCTGGAAGGATTGGTTGTTTATGCCAATTGCACCAATTTTTCATCAAACGGTTTTTCACTAAATCCGAAATGTAATAAAATGTTTCTTGAGTCATTCTTGTATATGTATAAAATCTTTAATCATCGAATTTCAATTTTGTTACAAATAAATGATGGTATTCTTCGAAACGTTTCCTTTCTCTATTTATAGGATGTACAGCTTTTTTCGCATTTTTAAATACACATTTTCTAACAAAACCAAATCATCGTCCGATGAGTCCGACATTTTGCTTGCTCTGCTTCAATGGGCTTCTTTTATGTAGTAAGGATCGGCGCCGATAAGCGCTGATCGGCTTTCGGCTTTCTTTCTGTATACGGCATAAGGGACGCAATATAAGTGTGCACATTACTCATTAATTACGAAAGGAAAACGGAATGTACCTATAATATTTTTACCTTTGACTCAAAAATTTCGCTCAGTTTACTCTGTGTTATTGCAATTCATCGTTGAGAACTAGCTTAAAAGGAGCCCCTGAACAACCGCTGCGTGCTGAGTGGAAAGCGGTTGTATTATCTGCACTTCTAACTTCTAATATATAAAATTCTCGTGTCGCGGTGTTTGTGGTTAAACTCCTCCGAAACTCAAAATATTCAGTAGGTCTGAGAATCGGATGTAATCTATTTTTCATCCCCCTAAATGTTAAGGGTAATCCACCCCTAATTTTTTGGTTTTTTAATTTTAGATACATATTTTTTTTGAAGTTTTTTTATGATACATCATACACAAATACATACAACCCTAAATTTTCACCCTTCTACCACCAATCCCTATTTTTTTATGGCGGTACGAAGATCGCTGAAGCAGCTAGTTTTCTTATAAAAATATGAGTTGCAAATGATATCCAGAAATTAATCGAGGACTTTGTCGCAGTTGCGATCCCCGCGGCGCCGTAAACCCATACCCGGGGGGCCCGTGCGACTGCAAACAGAACGTCGAAGGGCCCAACTGTGACATATGCCGCCGTGGCACCTTCGGCCTCGACGGCAACTACTCGCTCGGCTGCTACGACTGCTACTGTTCCGGAGTCACTACCGACTGCTATGAGGTAAGTCCGCGTTACTGATAGAACAATTTGTCCTTTGTGTTAACTGCTACTGTTCCGGAGTCACCACCGACTGCTATGAGGTAAGTCCGCGTTACTGATAGAACAATTTGTCCTTTGTGTTAACTGCTACTGTTCCGGAGTCACCACCGACTGCTATGAGGTAAGTCCGCGTTACTGATAGAACAATTTGTCCTTTGTGGTAACTGCTACTGTTCCGGAGTCACCACCGACTGCTATGAGGTAAGTCCGAGTTACTGATAGAACAATTTGTCCTTTGTGTTAACTGCTACTGTTCCGGAGTCACCACCGACTGCTATGAGGTAAGTCTGCGTTACTGATAGAACAATTTGTCCTTTGTGTTAACTGCTACTGTTCCGGAGTCACCACCGACTGCTATGAGGTAAGTCCGCGTTACTGATAGAACAATTTGTCCTTTGTGTTAACTGCTACTGTTCCGGAGTCACCACCGACTGCTATGAGGTAAGTCCGCGTTACTGATAGAACAATTTGTCCTTTGTGTTAACTGCTACTGTTCCGGAGTCACCACCGACTGCTATGAGGTAAGTCCGCGTTACTGATAGAACAATTTGTCCTTTGTGTTAACTGCTACTGTTCCGGAGTCACCACCGACTGCTATGAGGTAAGTCCGCGTTACTGATAGAACAATTTGTCCTTTGTGTTAACTGCTACTGTTCCGGAGTCACCACCGACTGCTATGAGGTAAGTCCGCGTTACTGATAGAACAATTTGTCCTTTGTGTTAACTGCTACTGTTCCGGAGTCACCACCGACTGGTATGAGGTAAGTCCGCGTTACTGATAGAACAATTTGTCCTTTGTGTTAACTGCTACGGTTCCGGAGTCACCACCGACTGCTATGAGGTAAGTCCGCGTTACTGATAGAACAATTTGTCCTTTGTGTTAACTGCTACTGTTCCGGAGTCACCACCGACTGCTATGAGGTAAGTCCGAGTTACTGATAGAACAATTTGTCCTTTGTGTTAACTGCTACTGTTCCGGAGTCACCACCGACTGCTATGAGGTAAGTCTGCGTTACTGATAGAACAATTTGTCCTTTGTGTTAACTGCTACTGTTCCGGAGTCACCACCGACTGCTATGAGGTAAGTCCGCGTTACTGATAGAACAATTTGTCCTTTGTGTTAACTGCTACTGTTCCGGAGTCACCACCGACTGCTATGAGGTAAGTCCGCGTTACTGATAGAACAATTTGTCCTTTGTGTTAACTGCTACTGTTCCGGAGTCACCACCGACTGCTATGAGGTAAGTCCGCGTTACTGATAGAACAATTTGTCCTTTGTGTTAACTGCTACTGTTCCGGAGTCACCACCGACTGCTATGAGGTAAGTCCGCGTTACTGATAGAACAATTTGTCCTTTGTGTTAACTGCTACTGTTCCGGAGTCACCACCGACTGGTATGAGGTAAGTCCGCGTTACTGATAGAACAATTTGTCCTTTGTGTTAACTGCTACGGTTCCGGAGTCACCACCGACTGCTATGAGGTAAGTCCGCGTTACTGATAGAACAATTTGTCCTTTGTGTTAACTGCTACTGTTCCGGAGTCACCACCGACTGCTATGAGGTAAGTCCGCGTTACTGATAGAACAATTTGTCCTTTGTGTTAACTGCTACTGTTCCGGAGTCACCACCGACTGCTATGAGGTAAGTCCGCGTTACTGATAGAACAATTTGTCCTTTGTGTTAACTGCTACTGTTCCGGAGTCACCACCGACTGCTATGAGGTAAGTCCGCGTTACTGATAGAACAATTTGTCCTTTGTGTTAACTGCTACTGTTCCGGAGTCACCACCGACTGCTATGAGGTAAGTCCGCGTTACTGATAGAACAATTTGTCCTTTGTGTTAACTGCTACTGTTCCGGAGTCACCACCGACTGCTATGAGGTAAGTCCGCGTTACTGATAGAACAATTTGTCCTTTGTGTTAACTGCTACTGTTCCGGAGTCACCACCGACTGCTATGAGGTAAGTCCGCGTTACTGATAGAACAATTTGTCCTTTGTGTTAACTGCTACTGTTCCGGAGTCACCACCGACTGCTATGAGGTAAGTCCGTGTTACTGATAGAACAATTTCTCCTTTGTGTTAAGAGCCCTTTTACAAAATTGCACCGCTGCCGTACTAATCGGCGCGTAGGTAGATTTGCACTAGTATATATTGCATTTTACAGGTGATGTTTAGAGTCTTATAAAATAATTATTAATGAACTAATTATAAAAATATATACATATTTCACTAGTTCGCTAATGGTAGATTAGTTTCATGAAAATATTTGATAGTAATTCAAAATACGAGGTAAACCTTCATTGTTTTTTGGGAAAACTCACAGAGGTTAGATGTTTTTTTTTGATAATTAATGAGACGGTAAATCAAAATTCTAATACATTATATTACAACAAAAACATATTTCTGATGTCGTAGTAATTAATTTGATCTAATTTATTGAACATTTTTGAGAGATTCAGACGTTTGAAGTTGTGCATATTATCGTTTTTTCTGTAAACTAGCTGCAGTAGAACGATCAGTACAAAATAAAAAAAAATAGTATTTGCAAATATTCTCCATTAACTTTCAATAGGAAGAATAATGCTACTGTCAACTTCTATTTGAAATAGTTAAAATCTTTTCTATGGGAGTAAATGAGGGGAAATTTACGATTTTTTGCAAAAATGTGAAAGAGCTCTTAAGATTCATGACTCAATGCAACAGGTTCCTACTGGAGACTTTCGTTTAAATAAAACGTTACAATCATAGACATGGGGATGGTTTGCGTGTTCCCTTGGCAACTATCAAGTGAAATTGGGCATACAAAAGCGAGAGAGACGAAGCGGTAGGGAGGTCCATAATTCGTCTATTTATTGATTATTTTACTCTCTTTCTAGAAAGTTGCCAACAAATGCGAATACCGCTTAGTCCATTCGCTAGGTCTATGGTTACAATGTCCAGTACGGGGAAAATATTGTCCATTGTTTTGTTACGCAGGCATCATCCCAATATTACCGCATCCCGATGGCGGCGCCGATCTTCGGGCCGGACTACGGCGGCTACAAGCTGATGGACCTCAACGCCGAGCGCGTGCTGAGCGACCACATCGTCTCCATGCCGCTCAACAGCGAGCTGATGTACGTCTTCGACTTCCCGCCCGATGAGGAGCTCTACTGGTCACTGCCCAACTTCCCAGGTAACGCATCTGTTCGATCTTAATCTATCTATATATAATAACTAGCTGACCCAGCGAACTTCGTACCGCCCTAAAAAAATAAATCCAGCGGACAAAATTGTGAATCTAAACCATTCTCAGATCCCCTTGAACACACACAAAAAATTTTATCAAAATCGGTCCAGTCGTTTAAGAGAAGTTCAGTGACATACACACTCACAGAAGAATTATATATATAAAGATAAGAATAATATTTCCAACACTCACACCAATTAGCCTAGTCCAAAAGTAAGCACTGTAAGGCTTGTGTTATGGGATACTAGGGAACGGATAGAATACATTATATTGTACATATATAATTATATTTATATAGATATACATATTGGACATCCATGACTGGAGTACAAATGCTCGTATTCAAATTCAAATTCAAATTCAAACTCATTTATTCAGTCTAGGCTGTTACAAGCTCTTGTGAAAGTGAAACGCTACGCCATCGGTTCGTAAATCTACGGCGGGAGACCTTGTACTGAGAAGAACCGGCAAGAAACTCAGCAAGGGCTATTTTTTTTCTCCCTGTTTTGTTTCACACAGTGTCGTCAATTGAAAGATGACATCAAAAATTGAATACATGTGTTGTGTAATTGATGTGTTGATTCATCACACAAACATCTGCCCCCACCGGGATTCGAACCCGGGAGGACCTCACGAGTCAGCGACACCCTGAAACCTGGCGTACAAACCACTCGGCCACGGAGGTCGTCAATCTATAGCAGCAATCTATAGACATAGGCCTCCTAGATGTCCTACCATTTTAGTCTCTTCCCAGCCACACGAATCCAACTGTGGCCAGGGTGACACCTGATGTCGTCAACCCAACATGGTCGCGGGCGGATCGATTTAAATAAATAGTATAATGATCGTCACTAAATGTAAGTTCAAAATGGCAATGAAAGAGGAAAATTTACAGCAATTTTTACTGGATGCTAAAGTGAAGAAATATAAAATGACAAAGAAAACAGACCAAGAATAGTTTATATTGCACTGATGTTTGTGCAATGGTGAGAGTATTTACATGACTCTTTTATCAAATTCCATTTTACTAGCAAACCAGTGAACCATATGTTCACCAAAAAAAATGTATTTAATTAAAAAGAAAAAAAATAATTAATTGAGAACTTCGGAGATTTTGTGTAATTTCGTTTTAAATTCGTGATTTCTCGAAAACCGGAAGTGCTACGTTACTCAAATCCGGTTTGTAGTCTTATCAGACTATTCTTAACTTACCTATAACTTAAACATTCTCTTTATCTATCTCTTACGGTTTGGCCGCTGAAACAGTACCACAGACAGACAGGCGGACGGACGGACGGACTTGTCTAATAGATAAGAGATTATATTTCGAAGCATACACCTCGATTCAGGTTTCAGGTGTCTTCTGCTTCTCTGGGCGGATAGCGGAAGATGAGTCCGTCTTTTCTGGCATTAAATATTATATATTTCGTATTACATTTTGTTTCACGAACCGTCTTGACATTTTGAAATTGAATAAGTTTTATTCTATTCACAGGAAACCGGGTGCTCTCGTATGGCGGCACACTGCAACTAAAACAAAAATTCGAAAGCCGCGCGGAATTCATGTCGGAACCGGGAACCGATATCATCCTGGTCGGAGACGACAAATCCGTTTACTGGACCAATTCTGAACCTATGAGGGTTGGACAACAATCGGTGAGTTAATAATTAGTGTGTGTGAATAATACATATCATTGTACAAAGCAAACGCATCAATATGGTGCATTTTATTGTATTTTACCATTATTTCAAGATAATTTAATAATTCGATGTAACTTCTCAGAAAAAGGCTTTTTTACAAAACTCATCAAGCATTTCTGAGGATCATCATCATCATCATCATCAGCCTATTAATTTCCCCACTGCTGAAGCACAGGCCTTCCCTATGGATGGAATAGGGAGATCGGGCCATGACCCACCACTCGGGCCCAGTGCGGATTGGTGGGTGCTACAACTGCGGATGCAACCGGGACCAACGGCCTTCCGAAGCACGGAGAAGCTCGAGATAGTAAATTTTTAGTCACCCATCCAATGACCGTCCACTGCGAAAGTTGCTTAACTTCAACGATCGCAGCCGAACGCGCTAACCAGTTGCGCCATCGAGCTCCTCCTCTAAGGATATCAGAATTTAACAAGCTATTAAATGGGGCACTATTTTATAACCTCGATTTTGAGCACAGAGTCTACAAGTGCCCCTGACTGAGAGCAACTGGTTCCTGCTGAACTACGCGACGCCGGCGAGCCGCAGCGACTTGATGTCGGTGCTGAGGGACCTCAGGAGGGTGCTGGTCCGCGCCACCCTCGTCAGGAACATCGAGTCCACATCCATCGCTGACGTCTCCATGGACACTGCGGGGGAGCAATCTTTCGCTGGACCTCTGGACTCTTCGCCGAGAGCGACGTCCGTAGAGGTGGGTTTACCGACAATAGGGGTACAGTAAACGAAATTCTATTTAGTCCGTCAGTTAGATGATCAAAAAATAATGGACACGTATTTTTTTTTTGGGCAATTCAATATTTCATCATTCCTGATGGTGAGAGCTGGCGTTAAATTAACAGTACTGATCTAATCTGGACCAGTTTTCTGGTATTCTTTAGATAAAATTCCTATTGCAATAGGGGTGATGACGGGGTACAGTAAACGAAATTCTATTTAGTCCGTCAGTTAGATGATCAAAAAATAATAAAGCGACCAACTTCATGCTGTTAAAATTTTGTGTTACAGTGATGCGCGCGCATCTTAAAATTTCACTCTCATAATTTTTTCATAACGCGCCCAAAGAAGTATAACTTCAAAAAGGTTTGGCCGAACAAAACAACATGGGGCGAATGTAAAATCAATTTCATTCTCATAGTCGCACCGCGGGTGATCCCAGATTTATTAGGTATTATTGGCCTTTTGTTATTATGTCGATTATTATGATTTTAGCATCTTCCCATCCTCGCTTGATGTTTAGCTATCTACGCAGAGGCGGAGGTTTTCTTTGCTCGTTGTATCCTCCCGTTTTTATCAAAATGGCAGCTATTTTTTTTTGATTTATTTATTTATTCAATCAAATCAATTACATTTTGATATGTAATAGCTGTATCCAAAAACCCTTAAACATGGGTTTATCTGTCTACAGCGATTCGCTCTAACGAATATTTATTAAGTTTATGTTTATCTTTTATATACAATTCTTGAATACTGGGCATTTCGTTTAGAAAGGACAATGGGCAAAACACACCCAGCTCCGCCAACAATGTAATTAGTATGAATCGAAAGATCTATGAAAAACTAGCCTTTTTTATTATGACACCGTAAAAAAATATCCTGGTAGTCAAAAGATATGTGAATTCACTTAAAATTTAAGTAGCTAAATAAATTCACTTTATAGTGCCTTCATTTTATATTATTAGTAACCATAATAATATGCCATATCATGCTATATACGACCAGATATACGACAAAGCCTGCCGACCATCCAGCGCTTGTACTTACTGAGCCACCTCAAAACGGTTTACGGTGGTTGAAGGACTTGCAGTTGCAAATAGTCGACTCGTCTTACTTCGTTGTGATTGTGCGCTCCCTGTCACTTTATTGATTTTTATCTAAAGACCCCCGGGATGGAATTTGATGCGCTTTGTCATATATGATCATGACTATAATACCTTTCAAACAAATGTAGTTTAAGTCGTGGCGGACGTGGGTGCATCGTCCATATATTTTTGCCCAATGTCCTTTAGTCGCTAAATATTGAATGTTCGGTTAAGGTGTGTATGTGCCCCGAGGGGTACAGCGGCACTAGCTGCGAGAGCTGCACTTCGGGCCACTACCGCGACCGATACTCGCAGTGTCAGCGTTGCCCCTGCAGCGGACACGACTGCTACCTTGCCCCTGATGACCAGGTCGTCTGCAACTGCCGCCCCCCATACGCTGGCAGGGACTGCTCCACCATCGGTGAGGAACATTCATACTAACAGGGAAACCCTTGCTCTTTTAACCCCATCTGTTATAATTAAAAAATGATTCATCGAAAGAAATAGACGATGGCACTTAAAAATATAATAAATTCGATTATAAATTGAGGGTAAGGAGGTCTTTGAGGGATTCCGGTTTCCCCGCCCTCGTTAGCTAGTTTTAGTTTTGACAGAAAAAAAATTGTGTGTGTCAGCTCCGACGCACGACTGGAGTTTACTCCTTAAGTTCGATAGTCTAACCAGACGCAAAAAGAGTTTATTTAACTTAAAAAAGATTGATACTGTATGAAAGGCTAAATTAACAAATTAATGCAAATAATATACATATATAAATATATATTTATTCATTTCATATTACTAATCGAAGAAATATTTTACATTAAACTTTTTACAATAGTCAATTTCAGATGTGCATAAATATATCATTAGGAATGTTGATAAATTATGTAATTATTATTATCAGACTATTATCATTTTTTTAAATATTAATTAAATCAACATTGTCTGCATTATTAATTACAGTGCCAAGTGGTTTATGGTAACTAAAATAAGACACATGGACGTTCGTAGATACGTGGTTCACGAATCTTGAAAATACCGCATCAATGGTTGTACCATACCTCGTTGTCCCCATTGCTCTATCAGAAACAATATCTAAATTCAGTTCAGATTTTAAAAAAAATATTAATGTCAATCCGTCATCTTTGTTTGTCAAAATTGCGCGACATAGGATGCGCACCAAAAACGTAACGAGGTCATTCATCGACAGATGTCACTCCTCACATTTTTCTCATACCGGGCCCCTTATATATGCAAATCGATTCTTAAGGAGTAAACTCCAAAAACACCGATTAAAACTTTATGAACCGGCAACAGGATTGGTAATGGAACTGCACCCGAACATAATGGCCGACGGCGGGGACCCGGTGTATCGGCGGGTAGTTTTCACTTGCAAGTATCGGGCCCCCCAGCCGCTCACCATAAAATTCTTCGAGGAGGGTCGCGAAGCCGGCACAATCGAGTACTATAACTCGTCGCGGCTGGAGAGCGACGGGTGGCACGGCGAGCACTCGCTGACCGCACGGTGGGACACGCGCCGCACGCCGGTGTTCGAATGCCATACTCTCACGCGGCGAGGACACACGCTAGGCCTTCTGTCCACCAGCCTGCCCGAGCCAGGTAGACGAGGCGTCCTGTGATCGTGCTTATGGTGTCTCGTTATACGCTGCGATTGTTCCGTCGATCCATCGACATCAAGCTTAATCATGACAATGGAGCGCTGCGCCACGTTTGTGAAGCTTCTCTTTCCGATCCTAAAACTCATCATTTCCTCTATCGATCTAACCTCGCCTTTTGAAGAACATTACGTGTTGTGATACCTGTTTCGTTTCTGTTTATTTGTGTTTCGTAATCGTTTCGATTTACATAATGTTTGAAAATTCTCCGTTCTAGAGATTATCGGAACGAAGTTCCTCACGGCAGGCTTGGAGGGAATAGGGATTTTGCTGCGCGAGCGAACCGAAAAAAATGTGATAGTAAAACCGTAAGAAAAAATCCGTGGAAAAAAGTGCGTGGAATAAAACCGTTAAATGAGACGTACGCAAGCGAGTTTGCAATTTGTGTCGATTCTACATAGCCGAAGGAACTTCGTTCCTACCTGGTGTCCCGCGACACCACATCATTTCTTTTTTTATAAATATGTAAATATAAAAAAAAACCGATACCACTGTAGTAATTGTCTAACGCTGTAAATACATAGTACTTTGAAAATATTCTCGTCCAAGGTTTTCGTTTGCATATAGATGGATATAGGATGAGGGAGCGATGCTAATATACTCGTACGTTTCCAGGAGGTGAATCGAGCAAAGTGTCAAACGCGACCTCTCGGCCGCCGCCGCCGCGACCCACGGTGATGGTGACCATCACATCGCCGACCATCAAGATCCAGGAGGTGGGCAGCAGCGTCAACTTCACGTGCCAGGCGGAGAGCCGCATGACCAGGGCGGGGCTCCCCATCACCTGGTCCAAGGTCGACGGCCACCTGCCGCAGGGCCGCACCATCGTCGACGACCAGATGGGAATGCTGCTCATCACCAACTTGCAAGTGTCGGACAGCGGGAAATACGTCTGCCAGACCAACGACGGCATCTCCACGGCGCAAGCGTACGCCACGCTCAAAGTTCCCGGTGAGTGAAACGCTGAATGCTTTGTGAAATTTGGGTTTCTCCGAAATAAAACAATAAATCGTTGCAAAATGCTGTTTATACTTCGACTAAACTGATTTATGTGCAATTCGTTCGGAACAGTTGTCCCGGATTGGGTGTTTTACGCCAAAGGTAAGCTAATATTGTGGCTAAAATCAGGTGTCAAACGTATGTTAGACCTATGCCAGATGGATGTAATCCAGCGTACTGAGGAGCTCTAGCCAGAGTGGATAGAACTCAGGGACGTAACTACTAATTAAAAGATACTGGTAGAGATAAGTTATTTATTTCATTCAGGCGAATATAATTATTTTTATCTAACTACGAGAGGTTTGGTTGGTGCCTGAAGATCTTCTCTTGTATGGAACCTTCTATCAAGAGACAGACGATTCCTTATTTCAAATCTTAAAATCATGACATTAACTTTTTAATATAACTGCCAACCGTAGGCATCGCAAGAGCAAAGAGTTTACCTAAACAAGGAGGCAGTAACGTAACGGACGTTACAGTACCAACCAAGGTGACCTTGCCCGTTGCCATCCATTTAGACTAGACGAAGGATGTAATACAAATTTTGATTTGACCTTCGATGTGTTTGGATTACGGGCGCGTGTTTACATCCGCGGTTGGAGCGCGTGGATTACATCCAACCAAAGACAGTTTCGCTGTGGCAGTCAGCGTGAACGCACGTATGCATGAAAAAAATGTCGTCCAAAGATCAGAGTCGCGAACGCGATATTGCTAGCGAACTAATTGATCTCTATAGAGATCTCCCATGCTTATGGGATATTACGTCGAAATCATATAAAGATGCTCGTCAAAAAAATGCGTGGAAGATATTACTGGAAAAGTATAGGGAGTTGGACATAAGTTTGAATGGCTGAGAATCATTCGCTGTTGTAACCAACGCTTCATTAACATTGTCTTTTGTTGTTTTTCGTCCCATATTTTGAAATTTAGACAAATTTGTTTCTTAGGTTTTCACGCACATCACTCATTAAATAAAACTGGTTTTTACGGGTTAATGCACGAAACTTTATTTATTTATTGACGTTTCGTAGCCTTTACAGGCTTCGTCGTCAGAATAAAACTTTAATTTAATTTGTCGAGCTACCTTCGAAAGACTTTTATTGAGCGTTCGGTTATTTCATTGTTCGATTTTTTTAGTTTTATTGTCTATGTATGAATTTATTATTTAATTTACTTAATAAAGTATTTTATTTAAAATTCTTTTTTGTAATTTTGAGTTTATTTATTTGACCCTAACTACCGTAAACTACCATCGGTCCCAAAATTGGGAGACCTTTCTGAGAAGAACCGGCGAAACAAACTCAAGAGAGGCTTTCTATCTCCTTCTTATGTTAAATTATGCAAACAAAAACGTCAATAAATAAATAAAGTTGCGTGCATTAACCCGTAAAAACTAGTTTTATTTAATTTAGACAACTTTGGAGCGATTCTACAACACGGTTAATTAATACAGTCCGCGCATGATACAAGTGCATACGTGTTTTCACGCCAGACGACGGCTCGCGATTGCGTGTTGCCGCGTGGATTACATCCGTGTAGCCGAAAATCATAACGCGGATTCCCACCAAGGTCACTTCGGTCGGTACGCTGGATTACATCCGTCTGGCGTAGGTCTTAGTTTAATTAATATTCTGTCAAGACGCAAAACGGTATGTTAAGAAGTCGTTAATCTGTACAGGCAACGACATGACCATTCCCGGTGTGGAAATAAGGCCTCCCATCAACGAGTACTTTGAGGGCGACCGGGTGCAGCTGGAGTGTGTCAGCAGCGGTAACCCCGCGCCGCAGATCACCTGGCAGCGCGCCTCCGGCCGGCCCCTGCCCACCTCCGTGGAGACCATCGACGACCTGCTCATCATAGAGTACGCGCGCGAGGAGGACTCGGGCGAATACCGGTAGGAGAACCTGATCATTTGCACACCTCAAATCACACGAAAGGACGAAAAAGTATCAAAGGTGTACATGATACATTCTATATATATAAAACTCGAAGGTGACCGACTGACATAGTGATCTATCAACGCACAGCCCAAACCACCGGACGGATCGGGCTGAAATTTGGCATGCTGGTAGATGTTATGACGTAGGCATCCGCTGAGAAAGGATTTTGATCAATTCTATCCCCAAAGGATTAAAATAGGGAATGAAAGTTTGTATGAAACTTTGTCAATTTTAAACCGATCCGGCTGACTTTGCATGCATGTATAAGAAGAATCATAGATGAATGTCATTGTGTATAATACAAGCCTGAGAACAAAAACTGTAGCCTACACTTCAGCTCTACACCGAAGCGAAGCGAGGGCGGGCCGCTAGTTAAATATATAGTCCAACCTCACATTTTACTACATGCCCCACACCTAAATCACGTTGCCTCGAAAGAATACAACCTTTCCAATAGTTTTAGAAACAGACCTGTCACCTGACAAACTCCTCGCCTCCTTGTCGGCGCCATGTGTCACAAAATCTTCTGCAACGCAATATAATGTGCCATTATTCATGTCATTAATATATTCTACCACTCGAACGGCGCCCCCCCGGCTGACATGTTTTCGGTTTAGCGTCGGGGGTCGTTTAAACTATCCGTAACTCGACGTACCTAGCTGAAATGTTTTCGGTTCAACGCCCCGTGTCATTAAACTTTATGCGACTACTACACAATATTGTTGTGCATGGAAGGTTTTTTCCCATAATCGCCACGCTCGGCAGGCGGGTTGGCGATCACAGAGCGTAGGTTTATTTACCGATGACACTGCTGCCCGTCACCAGTGAGATTATCCTCCCCTACGTCGTTGGATGGTTAAATCGCTGGCAGGAGCCGGATGCGAGTAGTCCAAGATCGATCTGAGCAGTGTGCATTTGGAGAGGCCTATGTCCAGCGGTGGACTGAGATAGGCTATTGATGTTGATGTTGACACAATATTCCTAGTGCACGGTAATCGGGAACATCTGCTGCAGGGTGTACTTAACTATAATGTAATTGGTAATGAGCCGATGGGAACTTTCCCCGAGCAAGTGTACCGCGTCCAATACGCTCGGCTCGGTGTCCCACCTGAGCCGAGTCCGACCGTGGTGATCGCTCAACTGTTACACAAGTAGTATTGAGCTGACGGCAACTTTCCTCTTTTTTTTTTCTTTTTTTTAAAGGGTTTTGTCTATTATAGACCATGTCACCCTTATCGTTCTAACCTTCTATCGTCGTCTTATACGGATTGATACTATTTTATACGAGACCTTACTTATTTTGGAAAAGGGACTAGACAGTATGCTGTTATATAGACCGACATCCATCATTGTCAGCTCCGGGAATCGGTTAAAAAGGGGGTATCTTTCCGCTGCAACCCTCGCACATTCGGCCATCACATGCCACACATCCTCGATCCGATCACACTCGGTACAATTCGGAGAGTTCTCTTCTCTCATCGAACAACCGGAGCTATTTAAAGGTATGCGACCGGATCGGAGTCTGCGTGCCGGTCCTATGGTATACCCCTTCCCAGAGTCGGTTGCATTGTTTTCGTTTCCCCTGGCAGGTGTATCGCGTCGAACACCCTGGGGTCCGTGGACCGCACGGCCCTGGTGACGGTCCGGGCTCGTCCCGCGTCAGGGCCGCGGGACAGGCTGACCGTGTCGCAGAGCTCGCCGACCCTCAGCGAGGGCCAGAACACGCGCGTCACCTGCACCGGCACCGCCAACGTGCCCGCCGGCTCCATCGACTGGGTCAGGTAAATATTGAGGGCAACGCACAAACCTCTAGTACGTCCGTAGTTTTTAAAGTCTGCGGTAAGTTATCTTAGGGTACTGTGACGTCCGAAACGTTACAGCCTCCTTGTTTAGGTAAACTCTTTGCTTTTGCAATGCCTACGGTTGGCAGTTATATAAAAAGATAATGTCATGATTTTAAGATTTGAAATGAGGAATCGTCTGTCTTTTGATAGAAGGTTCCATTCAAGATTAGATCTTCAGGCACCAAGAACTTCCTCTCGTATTTAGATAAAAATTCTTTATAATCGCCTGAATGATAATATAAAATAATAACCATCGTCTAGTTGTTTTACTGAAGAGTCACGTCCCCAGGTTCTATCCATTCTGGGTAGAACTCTATAGTACTCTATGATTCTCTTTGGCCTCCGCTTTGTCACAGTAAAAATGTATTGTGTGTAATTCGATTAAAAAAGGTAAAATGAGTAAATCAACGTTTTTTTGAAATTCTGCATAAAGAAAAACATTCTCCTATCGAAGATATTCATTAGTAAATACCATCTGAAAACGACCAAATGGTTTTTGTTGGATCTAGATTACAATATCGCTGTCGTTAACTTTGCTTCCCTGTAACTTGCGGAATAGAATTCTCTCTACGCTGTTCTTTCTCATATTTTTGTTGCCTGAATTTATTCTCGCTTCTTCTAGGGGAGAATTCTCTTGAGTATGAAGCGCATTATTCGACACAGAGTTGAATGATCATCGACGGGACCTCTTGATCGTTTATATTTTTTTGTTGATCATTTAGATAATTCCCATATTCTCTTACTTTTAGAGGTGTTGTAATTCTAACAATAAATTTCATAACCGCTGCCGATCATATACAACAGGAGGAGAAAACAAAAGACATTTTAATTGCTTATCGTATCCACGTAGAAAACTTCATAAGAATAGGGTATTTGACAAGATTTAGAAAACGATCTCACTTTATTCACTAATGTTTATGGAGTCCGTAAAAAGTGGATATTTATCATTCTATTGTGTATTTCAGTAAAAATAACCAAATCAAAAACTCCATTTTCAAGTTGCCGCGAAAACGTTTCTCTGGAGAATATGGCGTCTTACTAGTATGTGACGTCACACGACTGTTATTAAAACGTCAAACAATACAATGTAATGTGACTTTAACCGGAAGTTTACTTGAGTGTGACGTCATTTTAGGCTCCGCCAATCCCAAGCGTTTTGGGTCCCGTGACAATAGATAAGAAAACTATTATCTCTCTCGTTAGTTTTTAGTAAAATTATGAATATATTATTTTTTGTAAAAATAGTCATTCTAAACACAGATGCTAACAATTGGCACTTTATTTTTAACACTGTCAAATACCCTATTCGAGTCTCATCCATTGTTATCCATCGGTCTTGCCAAATGAAAAATTGCTTTGGTATCGGAGCAAATCACAGTATTAGCTAAACATTCGCCCTCATCGATGACAGACAAGACGGCACCGAGCTCCAATCCAACGTGCGCTCCGAGAACGGCGTGCTATACATTGACTACGCGCAGCTCACCAACCAGGGCGTATACGTGTGTCAGACGACCGCGTATGACGTGCAGCCGGTGCGAATCGTGGTAGCCGTCATACCGCAGGGCACTCCGAGTCCCGAAGACCAGTCCAACATCACCGTCTCCGTCGACAGACTCAGGATACCCACCGGGGGAAGCGGCTCCGTCGAATGCACGCCTCGGGGATACCCCCTGCCGCTGATCTCTTGGAAAAAGGTAAGCGTGTTCCGTTTGTTCAAGACATACATTATAGTCTGTCCATTCATTTATTGGAATGAGGCTTGGAGGGGATAGGGATTTTGCTGCGCGACCGAACTGAAAAAATGTGATAGTAAAACCTTAAGAAAAAATCCGTGGAATAAAACCGTTAAATGAGACGTGCGCAGGCGCGACAGTCGCATACACAAGCGAGTTTTCAATTTGTGTCGATTCTACATTAGCCGAAGGAACTTCGTTCCTACCTGGTGGCCCACGACACCACATCATTTCTTTTTTTTTTTATCTTTTTGACAGATCGACGCCCGTGAGATTTTGTATTTATTACGTTAAAATGTCATACAAATAATATTGTACTTCATGGACGGGTACCGCCCACTTAGTGATGTACCACACATAATGATTACTAAGATTGTGACACAGTTTACAAATAATCGGTAGAAATAAATGAGTAAAAAGTCAAAAATATAGTTTTGACGTGACAACGTCTTAAATTAGGTTGCGGCTGGGAGTCACTTATGAAAAAGTGTAACGCTCGGTAACGTTACGATGAGTTTAAGTTTACATGTACAATGTTTTAGTAAACAAAATATATTTCTATAGTTAAAATTTGTGCAATTCTTATTTTCATTCAATTCCTTGTTCCTATTGTGCAATTTAATTATATTCATATCAATAAATATTCTACCGAGAAAAAGACGTTGTCACGTAAAATCTTCGCCCGTAAAACCGACTTTACAGGCAACCATTTTTTTTTTTGATAAATGTAATTGTTAATTATAATCAATAAATCTAATTGTTCAGATTAGTAGTATTAGGATAAACAAACATATAAAAAGCGGTAAGCATTATTATATATAAATCACACCCAGACACAGAACAACTATTCACTCGTGCTCATCACACAAATATTTGTATTAGGTAAAATAATAAATCTAATGAGATTTTGAATATTTTTGATAACTAAAATAATTTCGATACTTATAATCGATTAAACAATGTTATAGCATAATTCGATTATAGCTTTAAATCGAACGAGTTATGTGATAGGGTGTCACCATTTTTACTTCGATCGATCTGTCAAAAAGATAATAAATGAATGGACAGACCATAAAATATATCTTTCTCCCCAGGTGAGGTGGAACATAAAACCACGATTACAAGTTTATAAGATTTCATTGTCTCGTTTAATACTTGATAGGTTGTGAATTTTATTATTTAAATAGCTAACTTGAACTTGACGAAATGAAATAAAGTGCGAATCCCACTTTATGGTTTTGAGTAATTTTAGTTAACAATTAGTGGAATTTGAAGTGTTTATAAGTCGGGATGAAAAATCTTAACCATATTACCACATATTACTCAGGATGATAATGTCCTCCTGCTTCCAGTATAACGGCAAGTTCGGAGACGGCGTCAGCCAACGTCAGAACACGCTGATCATCAGAGACGCACGCGAGGAAGACCAGGACTACTACCTGTGCGAGGGAATCGTGGACGGCCGCCCCGTCGCCAACATCTACGTCTACGTGGAAGTTGAAAGTGAGCACTCATTGTACATATCCTAGATGTTGCCGACCTGTTTTGCTATCAAAATTGTAAAATAATACTGGACGTGTAAAAGTTTTTTCATAATTTTAAATAATGATCCTTTGTGAAAACGTTGCGCAGTGTGCATAAAACTGTGATCGTGTGTAACTTAAAGGTTTTGATTAAACGTTCTCTCCTTTTGCTCACAGTTTAAAGGTATTAGAAAGTCAGAATTTTGTATAGTACCGGCACAAGTTATCCGTTCGAGGGGCCGCCTCTAAGCGGCGTTCGGTGGCCACGATCGGTGGCTCCATGTGCGTTTGTTCTAAACGCCTTTTTGCAGGATGACTTGATTGATTTTTGCTTAGATTAAAACAAAAAGGGTAGATACGGTACGCTCATACTTGCATCAAACAAAAACTGATCCCACGGCAGCGCGAACGGGACGCCGAGATCCGCGTCACTGCATTACCGACCCGAACGAAACAGCACGTTAAGTTTCAACGGCAGCGCGAACGAGACAACGAGATCCGCGTCACTGCACTACCGACCAATCACGCGACCAGTACTCGACGTCACTACCGAATAAGATTCAAAACAAACAGCAATTTTTATGAAAAAACTAGCAAACCCCGCGAACTCCGTTTCGCCACCAGATGGTTTCGTTTTATGTAACATTTCGTTTGGTGATTAAAAGAAGTTTTTTTTTAATTTTTCCTGAATTTTCTTTGCTATAAATCTCACGGAGCCCGAGACCTTTCCAACGAATGCAAAACCGTGGAAATCGGTTCGTGCGTTCTGGAGTTATAGCGTCAGGAAGGAAAACCCGACTTATTTTTATATAGTAGATATATTTTATAGTACTTACGAATGAAAAGTGATGCCGATGCCGATTATTAGCAATATTTCTTTTTGGCGTTTACATGTACGTCGTTTGCATGTCAAGTTGTGACTAAAGCGATTATGGTCTTGGACCACAATTCATGCGGATCACTTTTGTGAGACTAGTGCCGTATCTACCCTTTTTGTTTTAATCTAAGGATTTTTGTATGGATATACTTTAATGATTCTGCATCATTAAAGTTGAATTATCGATCGGTAGAACGCGAGGAGCCTCAGATCGAGATCTGGCCTAGTGGCGAGCAGGCGGTGACGCTGGGCAGTCCGTTCGAGCTGCGTTGCCGCGTGCGGGCCGGCGTGCCCGAGCCCACCGTCACGTGGAGTCGCAACGGGGGCCGCCCCATAGCGCCGCACGCGCAGATACAGCCCAACAATATACTCAAGTAAACCGACACATCCAACACTATCATCGCTGTTATATATTCACATCCGGCGTGCCCGAGCCCACCGTCACGTGGAGTCGTAACGGGGGCCGCCCCATAGCGCCGCACGCGCAGATACAGCCCAACAATATACTCAAGTATACCGACACATCCAACACTATCATCGCTGTTATATATTCACATCCGGCGTGCCCGAGCCCACCGTCACGTGGAGTCGTAACGGGGGCCGCCCCATAGCGCCGCACGCGCAGATACAGCCCAACAATATACTCAAGTAAACCGACACATCCGACACTATCATCGCTATTATATATTCACATTTTTTTTATGTTAGAGGTGGCATACGAGCAGACGGCTCACTTGATGGTAAGTGATCACCGTCGCCCATGGACACTTGCAACACCAGGAGTATCACAAATGCGATGCCGGCTTTTAAGGAAGGAGTACGCTCTTTTTGTGAAGGTTTTTGGGTCGTATTCACATGTTGCACAGCTTCCATCCGCAGGGAAGCGTCTACCCGAGGGCCAGTAGGGCCATGGGCCGGGAAGACGGACTGCGAGGGCCGGCTGCAACAGCTGCATGGGGCAGCAGAAGTAATATAAAAAAATGTGATTTGATTTACTAATACTAGGGTGGGGGGTGAACGGCCGTCAGTGCTGCGAGTATCCATCAGGGGCGGGAACCACTTTTCGGTAGTTGGATTTCCAGCATAAACATAAAAAAGCACGATCTTATTTATTATTTAAGCATTTAACTGCTAGATGTTTAAATCTAAAAAAAAGTTTACTAGAAAAAAATCGCCCGGATTGCGAAGGATGCGTGCGGGTTCGAGTCCCGTCCGCTGCCTGGTCCGCGTGGATTTTTTTTCTAGTAAACTTTTCTTTAGATAAAAAAGCACACCTAAATTTGAGTGTCAGCGTACTCCGGTTGCGAACATGCGGTAGATGGAACGCTGCACGCGCCACCTAACTTTCGAACCGGAAACCGTTCCGGGCGGGTTCGGAAATAGATTCGCATCGATCACACCGAATGCCGGTGTTGTTTCACCGCGGTCTTCCGCAAGGTGGAGGTTCCTTCCCCGGCCCGAACCGGTGCGCTCCGAACGCCCTACCTCTGTTAATAATAAATAAATAATAAATATTTCCGACACTCACACCAATTAGCCTAGCCCCAAAGTAAGCACTATAAGGCTTGTGTTATGGGATGCTAGAATACATATACTGTACAATTTATATAAATACATATTAAACATCCATGACTGGAGTACAAATGCACGTATTCATCACACAAACATCTGCCCCCACCGGGATTCGATCCCGGGACCTCTCGAGTCGGCGACAGCCATGAAACCCGGCGTACAAACCACTCGACCACGGAGGTCGTCAAACGTTGTTAAACGAGGATGTCTCCTATCCTACCTGTGTGGTGCAGATTCGAGCGCATCGAAGTGAACGACGAGGGCTCGTACTCATGCTCCGCGTCCAACGCGGCGGGCACGGCCACCGCCAGCACCGCCATCAAGGTGCGCTCGCCGCCCGAGCTCAGCGTCATGCCCGGCGACTACGTGCAGGCGGCCTACAGGGACCCCGTCACCGTCGAGTGCAGGGCCAGCGGGTACCCGCTGCCTATGGTCACCATCAAGAGTGAGTTACGCCTCTACGTTTATACAGGGTGTTACACAATTCCGAAATAAAAATTATTTATTGAAGTTATACTTCTTTAGGCGCGTTATGAAAAAAACATGTGAGTGAAATTTCGAGATGCGCGCGCATCACTGTAACACAATAGTAACACCATGAAGTTGGCCGCGGGCGCGTTATGAATGTTAGTGTCTAATTAATAATTATTATTAGACATCTGTTCAAAGGTACTTTGAACGATCTACGGAGCTCCATAAGATGATCGCGTTGTCAAAAACAATGTTGGCACGCTCGTCGCCTCTGATCACTGTTTTCATATTTATAATATTTATCCACATGTTTCTAGTTTCTATATAGACACAACGTGTTTTAGTTACTTACAAGTGCTAATTACATATGGACTAATAACTTAAATTCAATAGTGATTTTAATTGAATATTTTGAATATTTATTTAATTTTTCAAATTAAAACTGAACTTAATTGACTGTGTTAACTATCCTTTTCCAGTCTTTTTATTATTTTATTGTAATTATTAATTATTTGCATGCAATTAAAAAATATTTTTAATGATGCTAAAGAAGTATAACTTCTCACGCGCGTACATAAGTTACACGCATCCATTATTTTTTTACTATTATCTATGGTACAGCGACAGAGTACAAATTATAACTTACATATTATTATACAAAATTATTGTATTACATAGACTTGCACCCCGATTGATGCTGAACACGACATTTGCTTAATTTTAGCTCACAAATTTGAAAAAATAATTATTATAAAAATTAAATATGCAATTACAATTAAAAAAAACAAATAATTAAATATGTATGTACTAATCAAGAATTATAAATGATAATAAAAATCAATTTAATTACAATTTCCTCCTGCATATTCGTAAGTAGGAGGAGTGGGAAATGGCAAAGATATCCACGTCTTTGGCTATTTCGTTAAGGGCCCTGCTCATTCTATATAATGGGTCATTGTAGGAAACATTATTACTACAAGTTGGTACGGAAAAAAGTTTCTGCATCCTTTTACTTCCACCCACTTTGAATGAAAAACGGCTCAACAGATCCTCCATTCAGATTGTAGGTATGTATTCCGAAATAAAAATTTGTATTTGGGGTCTGTTTAGGTATTAGTAATCGTACGCATTTATAGGGTTGTCATAGGCAGGTGTAAAACGATTTTTTTTTAATTTAATTAAAAAATAAAAGTGGTCTGAAAGGCGTCAAACTTTCGTAGGTAATTCTATACAAGGAACACAACCAAACCCTAAAGTTTTATTTCGGACTTTTGTCACACCCTGTATATATCCTGGGGCCAAGCCCTATCCGCCGACACACGCCTTTTAGCTTGACGGCCCAACCCGGTCGCTGAAAAATGTATGTTGAAAACTTAAAATCAAAACTATTTGAGAATGTGAAATGTTCGTATATAATGTACCACATGCTGTATTTAAACAACAAATACTGAAAACGCCGATTTATAATATACTTTGTAAGTTGTGACAAAAAAAAAGAATGATTTTACGAAACCCTTGTAGATCTAGGGAAGACTCGCACGTAGCCAGTTTTTTTTTTTATAATATAATCATATTAATGTAATTTCATATTCAACATCGCAAAAGCAACTCTATATTTTGTTATAGTTTTCTCTTGTAAAATTTTACTATGGATAGCACGATGATTATATTATTGCCAAGACATGATTCGAGTAGCTTTTCCACGATCGTACTTCGAAATCTTTAATTACTGTGCCATCAAACTCCTGCAAGAGGTCCTGGCAGAGTAATATCATTATCAAAAAAAAAATTTACTGGCGCTCACAATAATAGCATTTCTACATCGATCTATTAAATTGGTTCCATTCACGTTTGTAATGAAATTTTTTGTTTGTCCAAAAAGAGATGCAGCTTAACCCAGAGATGCTTGAGATAGTGCCACCGTCTGCCGGCATGGCGGTTTTGCACATCGCTTCAGTCAGTGAAGCCGACGACGGCAACTACGTGTGCATCGCTTCTTCGCCCGCCGGCACCATCACGGAGGAGTTCGGCATCCGCGTTGATAGAGGAGATGGCGGTTTCGGACGAAGTCAGTTCAATAAATAAAAATGGTTGCCTGTAAAGTCGGTTTTACGGGCGAAGATTTTACGTGACAACGTCTTTTTCTCGGTAGAATATTTATTGATATGAATATAATTAAATTGCACAATAGGAACAAGGAACTGAATGAAAATAAGAATTGCACAAATTTTAACTATAGAAATATATTTTGTTTACTAAAACATTGTACATGTAAACTTAAACTTAACACGAGAGACTCATCGTAACGTTACCGAGCGTTACACTTTTTCATAAGTGACTCCCAGCCGCAACCTAATTTAAGACGTTGTCACGTCAATAAAACCATTTATATGAAGAGAGGTCCCCGGGTTGATCCTTGGGGTACTCCCGATTTTATCCCCGTTTTGACTCAATAGTTTTTTACTACATAGTCATAGCAAACAGTTGATAATGTTCACATGCAAAACGTAGTGCATTCTTCATAAAAGTATCTCCTAAAATGTCTTATGCACGTTATTCTTATTGACAAAAAAAAAGCCCTCCGTTTCTGTAGGCGTTCTGTAGTTCACTTTCACACAGTCAATTATTTGACAAAGCAGCAATGTCTTTTTGTTCGATTCGTCCCGTTAACTCCTTATTATTTAGTCTGCAGGCCACATCATGATTTAATATACCATAGAATGCTTGCGCTTCTGTGAAATGGATGCCTGAGTCTTTTATGTTTTTGTTTTTCACGTGACAAAGTCTTATAAATCGATGAACAACGGCTGCATGCAAAGTGTGACGTCATGTCACGTTGTCACGAGTAAGTTCAACGTTTTGCGGTGTGTGTGAAGTGAGTCGAGGGGTTCCTTCGACGCCCCGACCCTCCTGACCCTCACCACCGCAGAGCTTAACTCCCATAGAGCTACAGAGATGAGCTTGGGCTTAAACGAACCGAAACAAAAGTACCATAAAACTGTGAGGAAAACAGTGAACGACACTTGTAAAGTAAAGTAAAGGTATTCATTTGACATTGTGGGTTACCTACAATGCGAAGAGATGGCGCTGCCTTGGCAGCTTAAGAAAGGCTAGAAAGAATTCGACGCGGCCATCAGGGCCGCGGTAGCATAATTGGTCAGTGCATTCGCCCGGATAGCGAAGGATGCGGGTTCGAGTCCCGTCTGCTACCTAGTCAGCGTGGATTTTTTTCTAGTAATATTTGATTTAGATTTAAACATCGAGCAGTTACATGCTTAATAAATTAAAATTATAAATGAACGATACGTTATCACGTTAAATTATAAGTGAACGATCAGTTATCACGTTAAATTATAAGTGAACGATACGTTATCACGTTAAATTATAAGTGAACGATACGTTATCACGTGAAGTTTTCGTCCGTAAACCGACTTTACAGACAACTATTTTATTTGTTATGTGTTTATTATCACTGTTGTTACCTTTAATTATTGTAATTGATATTTTCATTACAATTAAAGTAAAATAAATAAATTTATCCGTTTGACATTTTTAAAATGTTTCTCTTTCTTCTAAACAGCTGAAGGTAGTGGAGATGACGGCATGAGACAGTATGACACAACAACTGGCTACCCTAGCGGATCCAACAACCAACAGCCGAACAGTCTCATCGCCATGGAGGGACAAACCAGCAGAATCTTGTAATTACAATACGATATATTTTGCATTTTTTTTTATGTTATAGGGGTCATACGAGCAGACGGCTCACCTGATGGTAAGTGATCACCGTCGCCCATGGACACTTGCAACACCAGGAGTATCACAAATGCGATGCCGGCCTTTAAGGAAGGAGTACGCTCTTCTTTTGAAGGTTCTTGGGTCGTATCGGTCCGGAAACACTGCTGGCGACAACATATTCCACAGTTTTGTCGTACGTGGTAAAAATTTTCGACAAAAACGCACGGTTGTGGATAGCCACGCATCAAGATGATGGGGATGAAATTTTTGTCGCGATGTACGATGGCGAAATGCAGCAGCTGGAATTAATCCAAACAATTCCTCAGAACACTCCCCGTGATAAATGCGATAGAAGATGCAGAGCGAAGCTACATCCCTACGCAAAACCAAAGGATCAAGCTGATCGGAAAGGTCCTGGTCGTCGACGATTCGAGCCGCTCGGCGCTGGATTAAATCAGTAGTAACCTTATTATTTAATATAAACGACACTGAATTTTTTTTTCTTTGACAGCTGCACCATTAACAGCGGGGATTATGATGTGAGGTGGAGTCGCGATAGAGGCATGCCTCTGCAAGCGAACGCAGAACAAAGTGGCGAAGCGCTCATTATTAGGAACGTAAGTCGCTTACAAATTAATCTTTGATGTGGTCATCATCATCATTTTATCACACACAGATGCATCTGTAATAACATGATTTGGTCTATAAGTACTTTAAATTTAATCCTAGTGTTGTATTGAATTTGAAATTGATTTAATATTTACTTTGAATTGGTTCGATCCATAAGTGCAGATCGAAAGCATTCACTACTAACCGACCAGGGGGCCATTCGCCTAACGGAAATGCTTTGAAAAACGCTAACGCTTACGATTTTATTTTGTTATTTCTAGACGCCTGAGGTTTTCAAATGCCTCGCGCTCTTTTTTTCTTTTGCATTTGTAATAACAATATTAAAGAAAATGAGCGTGAGGTATTTGAAAATTATCGGCTGTCAGAAATAACAAAATGAAATCGAAAGCGTTAGCGTTTTCCATAGCATTTCCGTTAGGCGAATGGCTCCCAGTCGCAAATGCTTGGTAACGAATCTAAACGCTAATAAACTTACGGGCTTGGCTATGCCTCAAGTTATACATTCTAGTTCATGGTATCGCGAACACATTTTAAATTACTCATATTCATCATCATCAGTTCATTAGCCACTGCTGGGGCATATGACTTCCCTATTCCCAAGACACACCATGCGGGCCCACCGTGTAATGGTAGGCGCTAACGACTGCAGATGCAGTCGGGACCAACGACTTAACGTACTTCGAAAGTACGGATGAGTTTTAGATAAACAGTTTTTATTTCACCTTATCTTTTAGCGATCATTGCCGAAGTTGTTTAATTCCACAATCGCTAACTCCTCGTCCCATGTTCACAAGACGATAAATTATCTCGCAGACGTTTCAATATGGTTAACTTATAAGCGTGGGGGGTCAGGGTACGCACTCCCCATAGGGTAGGCCTGTGCCCAGTAATGGCGATGTACAAGCCATTGTAATTATATTTTATTAAGTTTGCGTTCCGAGTCGATGCACTCTAAACAGCTGACACAGTTGACCCACTAATTGGTTTAAGAACAATATTTTACATTATTTATTATATGACAATGCAATAAAGGCATTCACATCATATTGACGTATTTTAATATTATCTCCTGACAAATCGTCCCGTGACTAATTGACATATTGACAGTCGTTAGGGTCCTAGTAACGGCCCCTATAGGCAGGGCCGGATTTAGGATTGTGGAGGCCCCGGGCCACTAAGGATTTGTATGCTTGTTAACCCATCGAAATGTTGTTATTTCTTAAGCTGTTGTGGAGGCCCCTGGGCCACAGCCCCACCTGTCCTGCCTTAAATTCGGCCCTGCATCCATTAAGCGATTGAGGTACTCCCTCAAGATGGGTAATGAATTGGAAGTGCTTATCAGGGCCATTTGAGATTTTGATATTTCACCGATTGCCTCATTGGAGTGAACAAATATAGATCAATGATTTCTGTTATTTAAGATTAATATAATCAAATAATCATGTATGTTAGATGTACAAAGTACTGTAGGCTGTAGGTAAAGGTAAAAGAGCAAAATAAAATATCAAAGGAAAAGATGTTTACTAGTGTTTACTAGTTGGAATTTGAAAGATTTTCTTTTCCGAAGTCTCTATTGCGGGGGGCCCCCGTTTGTGGAGGCCCCGGCTTTCGCCCCGGTTGCCCTCCCCTAAATCCGGCAGCGCCTATAGGGGATATCGCTAGCATAATGACAATCGTTTCGTCGGCCCTCCTCGCAGGCGTCGAAGGCGGACGCCGGCTACTACACGTGCGACCTGTACGACCGGTACACGGGCGAGGTGCAGAGCTCGGCGATGTCCCGTCTGGTGGTGCTGGCGCCGCCGCGGATCACGCTGCGGCCTCGCTCGCAGACGGTGCGGCCCGGCGAGTCGCCCGTCGTCGAGTGCATCGTCGACGGAGACGACATACAGGAGGTCACGTGGCGCCCGGTCACCAGACCATTGTCCAGGTACGTCTGGTGGTGCTGGCGCCGCCGCGGATCACGCTGCGGCCTCGCTCGCAGACGGTGCGGCCCGGCGAGTCGCCCGTCGTCGAGTGCATCGTCGACGGAGACGACATACAGGAGGTCACGTGGCGCCCGGTCACCAGACCATTGTCCAGGTACGTCTGGTGGTGCTGGCGCCGCCGCGGATCACGCTGCGGCCTCGCTCGCAGACGGTGCGGCCCGGCGAGTCGCCCGTCGTCGAGTGCATCGTCGACGGAGACGACATACAGGAGGTCACGTGGCGCCCGGTCACCAGACCATTGTCCAGGTACGTCTGGTGGTGCTGGCGCCGCCGCGGATCACGCTGCGGCCTCGCTCGCAGACGGTGCGGCCCGGCGAGTCGCCCGTCGTCGAGTGCATCGTCGACGGAGACGACATACAGGAGGTCACGTGGCGCCCGGTCACCAGACCATTGTCCAGGTACGTCTGGTGGTGCTGGCGCCGCCGCGGATCACGCTGCGGCCTCGCTCGCAGACGGTGCGGCCCGGCGAGTCGCCCGTCGTCGAGTGCATCGTCGACGGAGACGACATACAGGAGGTCACGTGGCGCCCGGTCACCAGACCATTGTCCAGGTACGTCTGGTGGTGCTGGCGCCGCCGCGGATCACGCTGCGGCCTCGCTCGCAGACGGTGCGGCCCGGCGAGTCGCCCGTCGTCGAGTGCATCGTCGACGGAGACGACATACAGGAGGTCACGTGGCGCCCGGTCACCAGACCATTGTCCAGGTACGTCTGGTGGTGCTGGCGCCGCCGCGGATCACGCTGCGGCCTCGCTCGCAGACGGTGCGGCCCGGCGAGTCGCCCGTCGTCGAGTGCATCGTCGACGGAGACGACATACAGGAGGTCACGTGGCGCCCGGTCACCAGACCATTGTCCAGGTACGTCTGGTGGTGCTGGCGCCGCCGCGGATCACGCTGCGGCCTCGCTCGCAGACGGTGCGGCCCGGCGAGTCGCCCGTCGTCGAGTGCATCGTCGACGGAGACGACATACAGGAGGTCACGTGGCGCCCGGTCACCAGACCATTGTCCAGGTACGTCTGGTGGTGCTGGCGCCGCCGCGGATCACGCTGCGGCCTCGCTCGCAGACGGTGCGGCCCGGCGAGTCGCCCGTCGTCGAGTGCATCGTCGACGGAGACGACATACAGGAGGTCACGTGGCGCCCGGTCACCAGACCATTGTCCAGGTACGCGAACGGCGCAAGAATCAGCGGACGTGCATGTAAACTGGTGATCAATGTCAATGCGAAAGATATGTCTCATGACAAGCTCTATTTTCCCTGCCTACCGAACCTGGCAGAGGGAGGGAAGGAAGATAAATAAAATGATAATATTCACCGTTTCTATTATTTCGATTATCCTCAATGAATTCACCACCGACGTGATTTCTCTGAGTTACTTCACTCTCTTGTGTGCTATATTTTTCTATCTTGACCTAAGTATTATGCGACGTGGATGCGTTCGCAAATAGGGTATTTGACAGTGTTAAAAATAAAGTGCCAATTGTTGGCATCTATGTTAAGATTGAATATTGGCAGGGGTTTTTACTATTTTTACAAAAAAAAACATAGTTTAGTAACACGAAAAAGATAATAATTTTTTTATCTATTGTCACGTGACCCAAAGCGCTTGGGATTGGCGGAGCCTAAAATGACGTCACACGCAAGTAAACTTCCGGTTAAAGTGACATTACATTGTATCGTTTGACGTTTTAATAACAGTCGTGTGACGTCACACACTAGTAAGACGCCATATTGTCCAGAGAAACGATTTCGCGGCAACTTGAAAATGGAGTTTGTGATTTGGTTATTTTTACTAAAATACATAATAGAATGATGAATATCTATCTATTTTACGTACTCCATAAACTCAATAACGTGAGATCGTTTTCTAAAACTTGTCAAATACCCTATTCAAATGTATAGTGCGGATCGTATCAACGCAGCGGACCACCTCCCTCTAGTTCTTTTCAATTCACTTTCCCGGTCAGCAGGAACAGCCTGGATTGTTTCTAGCTAATTCTGTCTTTAACCTGATCATTCTTTTTCTTTACAGTCGTGTTGAAATCGATCGTTCAAGGTTAATATTTAACCGCATCGAAGTGGAGGACGCCGGAGAGTACGAGTGTTTCGCCAGGAACGCGGTCGCCAATAGTTCATCCACGGCCGAGGTCATAGTCAGCGGTATGGCACTACCATAATCTCTCTCACCAGTAGTCGATATTCAAACGAGGCATGTAGATCACCGATAAAAAGCACTCGCGTTCGGGGGTATACGACAGGTAGGGCATGGATCGAGATCACAGATCGAAATCATTAACGAAACATAACTCATAACGAGAGATATTCCAAATTTCATTTGACGAACTTTCATTAATTCTTAACCCTGTTTCCATTTAATTTTCTATCGGATGCGAAATCTACCGCTTAACAGCAAATAATCAAAATTTCACTCGGGGAGCATGCGGGCGAGACACACGATATACTCTCCATCATTCGGCATTATCGAACGTTCGACTCATGGCCACCCTGCGGTATCCCCCGTCCCACCGCTGAATGTACAGGTCGCACTGAATGTCAAGGCACCTGTTCTGTTTTGCCACATCGCACTCCGCCCAAGCGGAGTTGACTTGCATGAGTGACATCCGTAGCGGATACGGGTGCAGCGGCGCAGTCAGCTTCGCACGCGAACGAGCAGCGTGCGCACGTTGGGGCCGCGGTGCAGCTATCGTGCTCTACGGGGGCGAAGCTGAAGCTCCGCGTCACTTGGACCAAAGACGGCGGGCCTCTCCCTCGCTCCGTGATCCGTCGGCCCGACGGCTCGCTCTACATACGGCTCGCGCAGAGAACGGACAGCGGCCGCTACGTGTGCGACGTGCGAGACCCGTACGGCCGCCGCACGAGCAATCACATCGACCTGCACATCGACGGTCAGTGCCCGGCTTAGGTTACAACAAAAAGGGTAGATGCGGTACGCTCGTGCTTGCATCCAACGATAACTGATCCCGCGGCAGATCCGCGACACTGCATTACCGACCAATGTATATTTGAAGTGAAACTTCTTTATCGGCGTTGGAGAAAAATTTACCGTCACATTTTTCGGTTTTCCGTTACGCGCCATCTTTTTTTATATTAATAGTTGATAGCTGAATGATCACACCGTCGCCGGCGAGAACTCTCTCTACTCGTTTGTAGCTGAGTGACAATAGTTATTAAAGATAAGACTCGCTCAGCCAAACTCGCATAGCGATACTCGCTCAGCGATACTCGCTCAGCTATACTCGCTCGGTTAAGCTGGCTTGGCTGTCAAAAGCCGTGCGCGTGCATTTTATCTCAGGACTGCCAATTCGTTTCTAGTTTCTACTCGCTTATCGTTCATCGTCGGAGGTGGAACATGTGCCTTAGATTACTGAGCCGTGTAATCATAACAGTTTCATAGGCAGTAATTTGTATTCATGTCTATGATAATAAAATCCTTTCGTTTAAACTTTATCTAATTTAACTTTATTTAACCAATTTCTAGAAAGTTGCATGTAGATCATTTTTCGAAAAATAAGGCCATAAAGAAGTTTCACTTCTTACGTGTGTACACTAGTACACGCACACATTTTTTTATAGTACTTACGAATGAAAAGTGATGCTGTGAGTGTTATTTTTAGTTCTTGAGCTATTTGAGCACTTTTTAAAAACACACTTAGGCATTGTTTTATCATATAAACACAAAATATTCATGCGGATCACTTTTGCGAGGCTAGTGCCGTATCTACCCTTTTTGTTTTAATCTAAGGTGCCCGGTCGCTTTGCGAACGCTTCGCGTGTAACCCACCCCGCTTGTAAGCCGTCGCGCCGTTTAGACCGTAATTAACTCTTTGATTTTTGGAGTTTACTCCTTAAGAATCGATTTGCATATTTAAGGGACCCGGTATGAGAAAAATGTGAGGAGTGAAATCTATCGTTACGTTTTTACTGTCTACGCTGTAGCCACCGTAGCACAGTATCGTAGCGTACTTTTATTGCCTACGACGATAAAGAAACCGCGTCGGTGTACCACCGCGCCCCATTCGTTGAACACAAAACCATTGCGCTTTAGAAATAAACCTGGATAGGTATAGCATTCACATTATCAATCTTTTTTTAAGTTAAATAAACTCTTTTTGCGTCCGGTTAGACTATCGAATTTAAGGAGTGAACTCCAGTCGTGCGTCGCAGCTGACACACACAATTTTTTTTATTCACACGCAAAAGGTGATGAGGAATGCTCGGATGTCCAGTTTCGTTGTTATGACGCCACCGGTTGTGTAGACGTCGATTATCTCTGCGACGGCGTCAGCGATTGTCCGGACGACAGCGACGAGAGGAACTGCATCCTGCGCGAGAAGCGCGTGCGCACTCGGCCCGGCGCCGGTATGACCGTGTCCGTGTGTGGGGGGGGGGGGGAGGGGGGGGGGGGGATGTCTGTGTCCTTTCGTTACTAAACGGTGATATTTGTTACAGAGAAGAAGATGATTTGTGATAACGTTTCGTGTTCCGCAATATGTGTGTATTACGATTCCATGTTTCCATTTCGTTTTGGTTTGAGGCACCTGCATGATAACCTGCACACATCTAACATATCGCTTCTTTAACTGTATCGCTTTGCATGTATCAAAATTTCAGATATGTATATCAGTGTTTAACAATATGTGTTACTTGTTTACTTTTTGACAAATTAGGAATTGGTCATCGCTAATCAGCTATGCCAATCGAGGTAAAGGTATGGCGGAGATGCAGCTGATCGTGCCAGATTTGTATGACGTATGTTACATGAGACATAGATGATTGCGAGCGAAATACTTTTTACCTACTTGATCCCGTTTATAAAAGTCAGTCAGCTACATCTCTGCGGTGAACGAACCCACCCTAATATTATATGTTATCGTTGACCATATTTCTTTTTGTTTATAAATATAAAAAAACTTGTTAATAAAATTTCGACATTACACTAAATCACATTTAAATTCTTGCTATAAGAATCAACAGAGCAAAAACTGTGAGGTTCTCTACAGCTTCGACTGCTGGTGGACAATTCTATGATGGCCTGTTCGCCTTTTACTCTTGAGTTCATTTTTTATTTTTATTATTATTTTGTTTAGAAAGTTTCTATTTCTCTTAAAGCTACGTAATATTGTATCGCCCTTATTTTTTTACCCAGGTAGGTACTCTAACTTTGGATTGGATAGGTAAAAAAATCTGCCGTGGTACCATCAAGGTCTCTAGTCGTCAATAATGCTAACCGTCAATCGGATCTAAAGACTAAAGTGTCGTAGAACCAGAAACCTATCTAGTCCTCAATAAAACGTGTCACCATGCATAGACAGCAAGCTCTCTAATTCGCAATGATACTTACTAATTGTCAGCATGGCACTTTAGGTCCTCGCGATGAGACCCCGCTGGTGTCTATCGAGCAGCCTCGTTCCCCGTTCCGCGTGGGCGACAACGTGGATGTGCTCTGCCGCGCCAGTTTCCGGGGCGTCTCCGCCTCCTGGGAGAGATACGGCACCAGACAATACGTGGAGTCCAGGGTAATTGTTTAAGCTGGTGTTTCTGTGAGTGCCGATGTCGATTCTCGAGCTACCTTGTTGTTCACTGATTCATTTTAGTATCTACCTTGTTGCTCACTGATTCATTTTAGTAACTACCTTGTTGCTCACTGATTCATTTTAGTAACTACCTTGTTGCTCACTGATTCATTTTAGTAACTACCTTGTTGCTCACTGATTCATTTTAGCACCTTAACTTATAATTCAAATTTAAAAGCTCATTGTTGTCGTTGACAAAAATGGAATGACGTGTTAAACAAGAATCGGCCTTAATTTGAATTACGAATTATTGTTGCAAGCAACCCTAACATTTCAGTTTCAATACGGTATTTGACAAGTTTTAGAAAACGATCTCACGTTATTGACTAATGTTACTGGAGTCCGTAATAAGTAGATATTCATCATTCTGTTGTGTATTTCAGTAAAAAACCAAATCAAAAATTTTCAAGTTGCCGCGAAAACGTTTCTCTTGACAATATGGCGTCTTACTAGTGTGTGACGTCACACGACTGCTACTAAAACGTCAAACGATACAATGTAAGGTCACTTTAACCGGAAGTTTACTTGCGTGTGACGTCATTTTAGGCTCCGCCAATCCCAAACGTTTTGGGTCACGTGACAATAGTTAAGAAAACTATTATCTTGTTCGTTCGGGTTTCTAGTAAAATTATGAATATTTGTATTTGTAAAAATAGTAAAAAAACCCTGCCAATATTCATTAAACACAGATGCTAACAATTGGCACTTTATTTTTAATACTGTCAAATACCCTATTATATAAACTTAAATATGTTGTTATTCCATCATTGATGATTTCTTACATACATTTGAGTGTGAAATTTTTAAGGTTACATGTATTCCGTTGACAGAAACGTTTCTCTCTTTATTCATCCCCACCAGCAACGAGGATCATTACATTAAATTATTTCATAAATCAAAGAAATGAATGTAAATATTATAACTATAAAAAAAAAAAAAAAAAAAAATGTGATCTACATCGCACGTGCTGTTCCAGGAATACGGCGATGGAGCCCTGTTAAGGGTGCCCAACGTCCAGGAGTCGGATGCAGGCGTGTACAGGTGCAAGGGAGATTTCAACGGCCGCAGCACCTTTGAAGACTTCAACCTGGAAGTACAACCAGGTACCTACTTGAAATAACTTCAGCGTCACCATTCATGTTATAGTCAAGGGCGGATCCAGGGGGGGGGGGGGGGGTCATGGGGGTCATAATATACCACGACTATAAGACCCCCCCACTATATGGCGCCAAAGCTGGCTATATGACTCCCCCTGGCGCCAAAGCTGGATCCGCCCTTGGTTATAGTAAAGCGAAATTATCTTAGTCTTTTTGGCGGGATCGGGAAGCGTCACTTTAGCAGTTTTGTTTTTCTTGTTAAAAATTCTAATAATGGTGGATTATTAACCACCAAGTGTTCGGGAACATGAAGAAGTGTTGGCAAGTGAAACAAATGGTGGAAAGTGTCTTTCGACGTTCCCTCAAGAAGTCCACGGGGAGGTTCCAGTAAATCCCCACACTTTTACTGAAACTTAGGGAAAAGGGGGTTGACTTGACTGCCACTCACTTTGAGTTGACTTATTACTTTGACCACGAATGCTATAGTATTTGTATACTTACATTTAACTCTTGACATTGGCTAAATGCACAAGCCGTGCGAAGCCATTTAAAAAAGAAAAAATAATATCTTAGTTTGTAAAAAGTACTATACAATATAAATGGTTCGCTTATGTTATAGGAAACTCAGTTATGTATCCAGAGAACCCATCGGATGAGGTGGCGACATACCAGGCCCGGCTCGGCGAAGACGCGGAAATGCCATGCATTCACAACTTGGAAGAGCCAGTCTCCATCGAATGGAGGCGACAGTACACTCCTCTGCAGCCTGAAGTCAGAGCTTATGAGGTAAGACTTGAAAATTTAGTCTAGTTTTATCCTAGCAGACTACTCCTTCCTACTTAATTGTAATTATGAGTGGAGTCCAGTCCAGAATAGGCTTGTTGAAAATATATCGATATATCGATATTTTTTGCCGATATATTTTGATTCGATAAATCGATACATCGATACAAAATAACCAATATCGAAATTCGTATCAAAAACGATATTTTTTTAATTGTTAGCGGCATATCACGATCTAACTAAATTCGTATCTGGAAAAATCGTAACTGGATCTCAAATTAATGATTTTCATCATTCGAAAATAGGGTCTATTTTTAGGGAGATAATTTTTGTTTCATTATTATTCCGCGTGTCAAATTTCGTGAGCTACTGTACGATATTTTTGGGAAAATTGTTCCGATATATCGATATTTTTTTCGCGATATATCGAAGCCGATATTGATATCTTTTTAAAAGATCGATGTATCGCAATTTTTTTCAACTTTCGACATCCCTAGTCCAGAAGCTAGTGAAATTCATGTTCAATACTGATATTACAAGATATACCTAAAGGATTTTAATTTTAGTAAACTAGTAAAATAAAAATTGTGAATGACCTCTGTTGAGTTATAAAACGACGTCTCATGCTTATACAAAAATAGTGCTCAATAAATCATCTCAAAGGACACACGTATTTTCATTGCACTCCGTGCCTGCAGTAAGACATCGACCCTATTGCCATCAGCATAAGCCACATAATGGACCGTAACGAGCCGGATTTTTAATGAGCTACCGAACAAAAGACAGACAAGCGGCCGGCAGCATCGAACAAAAGACTGCAAAAAAAAGGGTTCTATTCAATTACGTGCATATTATGGACATTGCAAATTGACTTTAAAGTGCAAGTGTGAAGAGTCAACCTAAAACAAGCTATCGAAGATTTTTTATACAAGTTATTTGCAACAATATTATAAGTGGATATTTTTGTGAACGTTATTAATAAATTAAGCAATCGGTACTGAAAGTATGGCTATGGAGGGCACAAAAATGGAACAATTATTACTACAATTAGATGAAACGGCTACTTTAATGAATAAAACACAAATAAATTTGAAAAAGTGTCCAAAGGTGAGATTAACCAGGGGATATCTACAAACAAGAATACAGTGCATAGATGAATACTGGAACCTGTTTACTTCTACACATCGCGAACTTATAAAGATAACGCCGCGAGACAAGCGTGCCGACATCCCGTACTTCGTGAATGATGAATATGGTAACGTCGAAGATGTGTATATAAGCCTTAAAGCTGACATTCAAGATGCGATTTTACAAATTGAGGCATCAACGTCACCACATCGGTCACCGCGTCAAGAATCGTTGACTTGCAACGTGTCTGCAGATGCAGTCTCATCGCAAATTAGGCTACCTAGTATCCAACTGCCTACCTACACCGGAAATTATGACGAGTGGCCTACTTTCCAAGATTTATTTGTTAGCTTGGTACATGAAAACTCATCACTTTCGAACGTGCAGAAACTTCACCATTTGAAGACCAGCATAGCGGGTGAAGCAGAGGCGCTTTTGCGTCATGTTCGCGTTACAGATGCTAATTATGCCGACGCGTGGAACATCTTAAAGCAACGTTATGGAAACAAGCGTATTATAGTGCATTCTCTCTTAAATAGGTTATTTTCTCATAAAAAGGTAAGTATTCAGTCTGTCAATCAAATAAAAATGTTACTTGATAATACAACCGAATGCCTTAACACATTAAATAATATAAATATTAAAACCGATTCTTGGGATCCTTTAATTATATTTCTTGTAGTACAGAAATTGGACCAGGAGTCACGTAAAGATTGGGAAAATTTCGCATATAAAAATAATTCTGATGATTTACCATCGTGGTCGGATCTGAAGTGTTTTTTGGAATCAACTTTTCGTACATTAGAATTAGTAAACCCTACCGCGACTTTGTCTACAGAAAGGGTAAGAGAGAAAAATACTAGGGAACGTTCATTCCATGCTATGGCTCGTCCAGTAAAATCATGTTTATTGTGCAATGAAAATCATACTTTATGTCACTGTAAACAATTTACAAATATGTCAATTGTTGAACGAAACAATTATGCAAAAGATAAAAAACTGTGTTTTAATTGCTTGTTGACAGGTCATTCTGTTTTAAAGTGTCGGTTACCAATGTCTTGTCGAATATGTCATAGGCGTCATCATACCCTTTTGCATCATATCAAGAAAGAAGAAAATTCAATGCATACGCGTGTAACAAATACAGGTGCAGAAGAGGAGGAGTTTCAAGTCAATACAATGATGACGTCACACTGCAATGCAAGGCAGGGATACGCTTTATTAGCTACTGCGCTAGTTAACGTGAAAGGTGACAACGGTCACACAAGAACATTACGAGCACTTGTCGACCAAGGCTCACAAGCTTCTTTTATAAGTGAGAGGGCTACACAATTATTAAAACTAAAGAAGAAACCAGCACGAGGGAACATAACTGGAGTTGGTTCGACGAAAACAAGGATCAATAGCATTGTGCAACTTCAGATTATTTCTAAATACGACGAAGAATTTTGTATGCAAACAGAAGCTTATGTTTTACCAAAACATATTACTACACAACTACCATCTAAGTCAATACAAATAGGAGAGTGGCCGCATTTGAAAAACTTACAACTAGCTGATCCAGCATACAATAGACCAGCGCCGATAGATTTACTGCTAGGTGTAAATGAATATGCACAAATTTTGCAAGAAGACTTAATAAAGGGACCTGCAGAATCTCCGTGCGCACAAAAAACTGCTCTGGGCTGGATTTTGTTTGGCCGATTAGGAGAAGGAACATATAGCTCGCCATGTTTAATGGTAATGCACCATCAAATAGACTTAGACGAAATGTTGAAGACTATGTGGGAACTAGACAGTGAAAAAAGCAGAAAACTAACGAAGGAAGAAAAACTCTGTGAAGAAATATATGAAAAAACACACAAGAGAAATAAAGAAGGCAGATACATGGTAAATTTACCATTCAAAACTGAAAACCCGAAATCACCAGAAGGAAACAGTAAAGAAATAGCTTTGAGAAGATTTTTACAATTAGAAACAAAATTACAAAAGATGCCGAAATTAAAAGAAGATTACACGAAGGTTATACAAGAATATTTAACGTTAGGCCATGCTGAAGAAATAACAGATAAGAGTCTTGAAAACAGAAGTGTTTATTTATGTCATCATGCGGTTATACGAAGTGACAGCGAAAGCACCCCGACGCGAGTGGTGTTTGACGCATCTTGCAAGGGCACAAACGGCATTTCTCTGAACGATGAACTACTTGTTGGTCCTGTATTGCAAGAAGATCTTCGCAGTATCATCTTGAGATGGAGGATGCACGCCGTATGCTTCGTCTCTGACCTGAAAAAGATGTATAGGATGGTATTAGTGGAAAGGAAACATACAGATTTTCAACGTATTTGGTGGAGAAATGACCCTAGTGAAAAAATGAAAGAATATCGTCTACTTACCGTCATTTTTGGCACCGCACCAGCACCGTATCTAGCAGTAAAGACATTGCAGCAGTTGGCAGAAGATGAAGGTTCAGCCTTTCCAGAAGCCTCTAGAATTCTGAAAGAAGATTGTTACATGGACGATGTACTTTCAGGGTTTGACAGCGTCGATGAAGCTGTAATTGCTGCTGCAGATTTAAAGGAGATATTAAAAAGAGGTGGATTCGAGTTACAAAAATGGTCGTCGAATAGCTTACAATTTATGAAATCTATTGAGCCCGAACAAAGATCAACAAGAGTACAACTTGACTTAAACATTAACGGTACTGTTAAAGCATTAGGTATCTTATGGAACCTGGCCAATGATAAATTTATGTATAATATAAAATTACCTTCTATTTCGAAATCGACTACTAAACGTAGTATTTTATCTGATATTCAAAAACTATTCGACCCTCTTGGTTGGATAGCTCCATGTGTAGTTGCAGCGAAAATATTAATACAGAAGCTATGGTTGCAAAAAATAGATTGGGACGAGGAAATTGATCCCATATTTATAGAACAATGGATAAATATAAGACAAGATTTTGAAAATGCTAAAGATATATTTGTGGACAGATGGTTAGGAACTTTAACTAAAAACAACAAGAATATAGAATTACATGGCTTTTGTGATGCCTCTGAGAGGGCATATGCCTCGGTTGTTTATTGTAGAATAATCAATCTCGACGGCACAATAACTTCTGCACTTATTGCAGCGCGTACTAGAGTTGCTCCTGTGAAGTCAGTGTCCATACCAAGACTTGAGCTTTGCGGTGCAGTGTTACTGTCGAAATTATTAAAAAACGTAGCACAAGCAATGCGAATACCTGCATCCCAAATATACGCTTGGACGGATTCGTCCATTGTCTTGTCATGGCTTTGTGGAGAATCTTCCCGCTGGAAGCAATTTGTTGCTAACCGGGTTATCGAAGTATTGGAAAACGTCAGTGACAAGCAATGGTATCACGTAACTTCTGAAAAGAATCCCGCTGATATCGCTTCACGTGGTGCTCTGCTCTCTCAATTAAAATTCTGCAAACTGTGGTGGGAAGGACCAGAATGGTTGAGAAAAGAAGAAATCAAATTTACAAGACCGAATCCTGTATCTGTTGAATTAGAAAGGAGGGTTATACAAGTAAATACAAAATTAGAAGACGAAAATATAATAAAGTTTGAAAATTTTAACAATTTACGTGAACTTTTAACAGTAATAGTATACAGTATCCGATTTCTAAGATACAAAAATAATCCGGAAGATATAGATAAACAAATGACAACACAAGAAATAGATGAAGCGTTGAAAAGGTGTATTAAAATAGCACAAAGAGATTTTAATGAAGAAATTGAATGTTTAAAAGCAAATAAAAATGTTAAGAGAAATAGTAAAATAAAAACATTAAATCCTTACCTTGACGAAGACGGCGTACTCAGGGTGGGCGGAAGATTGAGAAATTC